TATGCGCGAATGGGGACCGGCATCGAACGACCCACGTAGCCCGAACCAACACGCGAGAAGATCTTGTTGAAGAACTCGCACGCAACAACCAGGCCCAGACAGCCGGCACCGCCAAGCATAGCAAGACCACCCATATCTGTTCGCTTGGTGCTGTCGATGTCACCGTCCGCAAGTGGGGTACCATCTCCCATTTGCAGCAGACCGCTGAACAAATCACCGATCTTGCCGTTTGTGATCAATGCCTTGATGTCCAACTGACAGATCTCGCAGTTCAGCTTACCCGGGCCAGGCTTCTTGATGATGTTCTCAACGGCAGCACGCCAGTTCACCACACACATGCTCTGGTCATATTCACTTGAAGCCGAGAACGTGTGTTCGTCTTCTGTGACCTTCGTAGTTTGGCCTGTTTCCGCGAAGCAGTTGTCAATCAGATCCAAGTAGCATCCGCACCGTCCCGTGCTCTTTTCCACACAGTCGGTGAACGGCACAACCTGGAGCAGGGCCTTGAAATCAATGGGAATGTCTTCAAAGATACCAGTCGTATAGGTCATACCGAGACATGTAGCCAGCATTTGATGGTTACAGGAAGGACCAGATCCATCGCTCGACTTGTCTTCTGATCCGTCGCCAGATCCAATGCCAGTGCTGTCAGATGCCGTGAAATTCTTGCCAAACACAGTAAAACCACGCGAGTCTCCGTTGCTCAGATCAGCGCCATACAAGATAGGCGTGTCCGGGCAATACATGACCATGTTGAGAGCAAAACCACAGACCGCCAGGAACAGCGCGCAGTTAAAGCAGAAGATACGACGGAAGGACATCAGAGCGCGTATCCACGTGCGTTTCTCCACAAAGCTCTTCTTAATGACCTTGGGGCGACCCTTCTTGTCCACTTCACCGAAAGCTTCGTGAATGGTCGTCGGGTTGTACTTCAAGCACTTCTTGCTCCAAAAGAACTCGTTAAAGTCATCGTAGTTACGAATCTCCGCGTGAGGAGCACGAGCACCCTGTGCGGTTTTCTTGTCGTTGTCTTTCTTGACTTCTTCGTACATCGGACGGATAACCTCCGTAAGGAAGTCGCCGGGGTTCTTGCTACCACCACGAGACGAAGCCTGGGGCAGCGACGTGTGCAGCAGGAAACAGAGGCATTCAGGCATCTGACGGAAGTTACCTGCCTCGCCCCAAATCAGGAAGAACAGCACGATATCCACGAGCGGATCGCTCGTGAATGCAGGCTTGGTCGACACGTACTTGCACCATTTGGTGTAGTTGGCAAAGATGCGTCCGTGGAAACGCTTGATGCCCTTATTGGCCATATCCAGCTCCTGCTGTCGGTCCAGTTGATGGTGCTCCTCGTTGTTTTGGTTCGGCTCCTCCTCCTGAAGCTTGAAGTTCGTCAGCATGAGCAGCACGTGCTCCTTCTGGTTGGCGACATTGGACTCCTGGAAACCGAACGCACCCTTGAGGCTCTCAAAGATATCACCTACAGCAGACGAGCTGTCCAAAGAGAGAGAGAGAGAGAGAAATCAGTGTTAGTTTTGCACCCACTTCATAATGTGAAAATTCACGCAGCGTCTTCTTACTTGGATAATAGCTCGACCACGGCATTGTACGTGGATGGCAAGTTGTCCATGGGTAGAATGTTGTACTTGGTATTGTGTCCACGGCCCGTAGCGCCGCCAGCCGTGCCCTTCTCGCGCTGGCTGCGGATCATCTTGACGTATCGGTTCATCTTGTTATTGAGACGTTGACTGGCGTCTCGCTCCTCCTGCGTCGGGTATTCGATGGCCAGTGCCTGCTCCATGAGCGTCACTGCGCGCGAGAGCTTGGCGTCGGCACCCGCCGCATCGGGCGGAGACGCGTTTTGCATGGCCACGCCAGCGTTGACCAGCTCCATGGCCTCATCGCAGAGCTTCTTCTGCTGACGCAGCGGCTTGCTATACTGCATAGCGTCATCGCTCTCGCCATCGCTGCCGGAACGCGCCATGTTGCGCGGACTGCGGGGCGTTCAAGACTGACTGAAGAGAAGAGAGAGACAGCGGCCGTCAAGCCGAGCCTCGGGGTCCTGTCTGAGTTCACGTGCGACTGCCCAGCTGGTGGGGCTCTTATCGCCGATCGCGACTGGAAATGCAGGGCGTCCGAACACTGGAGCTCAGTACGCGGTTGTCGTCCGCTCGGCGTTTCTTTCCGGACCTTTCGCCGTCGCTCGCGATATCCCACACTGAGCCGACACCAACGGACGACGGGAGCTGCCCCTCATCATGACGTCCCAAGGTTGGAGTAGACGGCAGCATAGTGAAGCCAAGTGAAAGGTGGTCCATGGAGAAATCAGAATCCCCAGCGAGAGTTTACCCTCTAAATTGAATAATAATGAAACGGTTCACCTGTTACGTTCGGTTTCAAAAAGATACAGAAAGCTATAACCTTCGAGATCGCATGCAGACGGTGAAGCTAGGTTAAGCAAACCACTCGATGAGCATTTGAATCAGTACTTTCCGACAGCTGATTTTTGACTTGAAAAGGTGCAATACTTTGTTCAAATAATTTTCATGGATCTCGACGCGACACCGAAGCAAAAGTCTCAGCAAAAAGCGGCGGCACCATGCCAATCGGACGCTGCCCCACGCCACCATGGACAATTGGCCCATGATCCATGGTTTGGAGCGGTAGACATGGCTTGGGTATTGGTATTGCTCCTTTCGGCACGGTGAAGCCAATTCAGCTGCAATCAAATTAATCACCCCAGCTGGTTTATGTGTGGACACCAAAAGATCAGGCTGATCACGATTGGACATCTTGTGTCCCTTTTTCATTCTGAAAATAGCGTTTAAATACCGCGATTAACCACTGCTTCAGCTAAAATTACACCTAAAAAGCAGTCAACTGGCGACGTTTGCGTCGATTCGTTTCCAACGCTGGCAAAATGGGCAGCAAGAAGCACAGTCGACGCCATGTGCGGGGCATCCCAGGACGGGCACCCGCAGCGCGCGAGCGCCGTCTCATCCAATACAAGGAAAGGGAGCTCCGCGCGGCCATCCTTCACCTGCGTGCACTAGAACGCCACGGCGACGTTGCAAGAGTTGAGGAACGAGACCAATGTTTCCACGAAGTGCGCCGACTGGCAATAACACCGAAAGGTCTCGTTTCAGAAGAGTTTCGGAGGGAGGCATGGCCGTTCCTGCTTGGTGTTGATCGATTGACTCAAAATGGGCTGTCTACCACTGGAAACAGCTCGGCGGAAGCACACCGAGACGCAGCGCAGGTGGAGAAGGATGTGGAGCGATCTTTGTGGCATTATGACGTGTTGCAGAGGATCAAAGAGAGCGATCGTCGCTCTAAACGCCGCGCATTAACGCAGATCATATTGGGCGTGCTGAACGCCAACGACGAGCTGTTTTACTTCCAAGGCTATCACGACATTGTCTCGGTGTTTTTGCTGACACTGGGAAACTCGAAAAACACGATGCAAGCTGTGCAGAATGTGAGCGAGACATACCAGCGCGAACCGATGCGTTCAGGGTTTGAGCAAGTGATGGAAACCACTAGGTTGCTGTTCCCGTTGCTGGATGCTGCTGACGAGCTGCTTTTCCAACATTTACATGCATCGGGGGTACGTCCGTTGATTGAAACATGCACCTCGTTTTAGCAGCACTGACAAGTACTGGCAACGATTGGTATGTGTCAACTACTCCAGGTGGAACCGTTCTTCGCTTTGCCCTGGATGATCACGTGGTTTGCGCACCAATTAAAACGCTTCGGGGATGTCGCGCGGCTGTATGACGTATTTCTTGTGACTCACCCGCTGTTCAGTCTCTACGTATCTGCAGGAGTACGTGGTCTTGCCTGAACATTTTCTTTTCGGGCCTTTAACTCGTTCCCGGGTGCTTTTTCGTACGTAGGTTGTGCTTGAGGCGAGAGAGAAGATTTTGCGGTGCGAACGCGACTTCGGAACGATACATGGAATGCTGTCAAGCTTACCACTCTCAATGGATATCGAAAAGGTGATCGCACGTGCTCTTGTGCTGTTCCACCAATTGCCTCCGGAGCAGCTAAGAAAGCTAAGCGACCTGGATGCTGGCTCAGTGTACGTTACTCGATAAGCATTGAAGTTTTTGATGCAGGGCAGCAATTTCGAAGCTTTGACGTTGTTGATATACACAGTAGCCGATGTGCGTACTTCCAGTATCCTTACGAATACCAACCGTGGCCCTGCATAAGTAAACCGATGCTGAAAGATGTTCCGCCATTACCCGCTCGGCTGTCACGGTTAGTAAAGCAGGTTTCATTTTTTTTTTTATTGTTCCTAATCATTTACTGACGGTTGCTTGGGGCTCGATGGTATTGTATCGTGGAGTAGAGATGGAGACACGACCAACTACATTCTGGGTTCCTGGCAGGTATTTCGAAAAGAACTAGTACTCGATTCGTCTGTACCGGCGTGTACTGATGTATTTTCGTGTTGCTTTCTAGACTTCTATCATTATCACAACAATGGCGGTTGGTGTCGTAGCAGTGGCATCCACTTATGCTTTTCGTGATCGAATTGGACAGCACACGTGAATTGCAGCAAGTAGTTGGCAAGGTAAAGACTTCAGTGAAACGCTTCCCAAGAAATAGAATACATGATGTTATTATTCAGGACGTTTCCGGTGCCTACTGTATGGCAGGTCTCATGCGCTCGGCCGAAAGCAAAACTGTCGCTGCAGAAAGCGACGATAATTGACAGGTTGCAACTACGGAATAAGCTTGGTATCAACAGAGCTCGAGCGCCCTGGGGGAGGATGGGGCTACCGTTTGATCGTACTCGTCTTCTTTTGCTTGAACACCCAGTGAGGTCGCTCATTGTACGAGCATTCGTTCAAGGACAATAGTTAAGTATAATTATGAGTCCTCGAAGAAGAGGTATTCGCGACAAACTGGGCAATTCGCGTCACGATTAAGCCACTCGAGCAAACAGCTCATGTGAAAGTTGGTGCGGTTCATGCCACAATTGCACAGCGTGCGAACCTTCGGATTATTCTATAGAAATCAAAACATGCAGCACAGTTAGATCAGCTCAAGATGCAATTTCTAAGACATCCCTACCTCAGAAAATGTATCCAAGCACATGATGCACTCGAGGTCAAGTTGGCCTTCATCGACCTGTTGCAAAATATACCTCCTGATCAGCCCGTGCACAGTTAAAAATGAAATGAAGGCAAAGGCTTACCACGCCAGTGACCTCTTGATAAGAGCGCAGCAGCCTTGACAGCTCTTCTGGTCGAGGAGATGGTGTCGGGCGGTGGTCTGCGTCCAGCCCCATGAGACCCATGCTAAGACTGCGACGCATGCACTGCTCTTCCGACTCCTCTTTACGCTCGTCTTCTCTCCTATTTGCGTCTGCCATGAGTCCAGCAGCGACAGTCGATCCAGTTCGCTTTAAGACGCTCCGTTGATTACTTCTACCGCCTGAACTCGTTCTTGGTCTGGCACCAAGCAGCTCGTGGGATTCCTGTGCGTCCACTAACACTTCCAGCTCCTGGTCGTCGCCGTCGTCGCCTCGCTCCATGTCCACCGAGTCGAGGTCGTCGGATTGCCTCCGCTGGTATTTGGGCGGGTGTTCCAAGCATGAGCAGTGCTGACCCATCGCGTTGATCGACCGCACGGAGGCAATTGAGCGAGAGCACAGCGGCAGTAGCAGACAGCGTCCTCACACCTGATAACGAGCTCGTCGTCGGTGGCAGTCGGTTTTGCAACTTGCAATTTGCAAAAGCCCATGTCCAATCTAGAAATATCTAAATTTGTATTTCCTCATTTAAGAAAAAAAATTCAGTTTAGCATTGACAATCTAGATATTGCTAACTTGTGTCAGTTTATCCTGAATTTATAGATTCACATTCTTCAACTTTGGATGACAAATGAGCCAAATGAGGGTATCCTTGCCGGCGATCGGGGCCCTCCTGGTGGCGCTGCTTGTACACGCATACAACGATTTTGTGCCTCTGGACTCGTACTCACCCACTCCCACAACCAACGTCAGTGTGGAGGCCCATTTCAGCGACTCATACTACCAGGCTCGAGCACTTTTCCGATCACGCGCTGAGAGTGCCGGTGCCAAGCTGTTTTCGCTGCCTCTTGATCATCTAAAGTCGTTGGACTTGACGGTGGACATTGCAGTGCTCGAAGGTTTTAGCGGTCGTGTTCTACTCCATATTTCAGGCACGCATGGCGTCGAAGGTTTTGCTGGAAGCGCAATCCAGGCGTCTCTGTTGGAGCGAGCGGCGAAAAACCCAAGCACCGCCAAGAACAAGCCCACGGTGATCTTCGTGCACGCGCTCAATGCGTATGGATTCGCACGGCTGCGTCGATTTAATGAGCATGGTGTGGACTTGAACCGCAATTGGCTCACGCCAGAGGAATTCAAGGAACGCCAAGCGAGAGACCCAAACCAACTGGGATATATGGATGTCTACGAGCTGCTGAACCCGAAAGAATTGGGCGGTGTCAAGAACTCGTTCTGGGTGAAAGGCATTATGAATTTAGCTACAAAAGGTTTTAACGCGATAAAACAGGCGACAGTTGTCGGGAATTATCGGTTCCCGCAGACGCTTTTCTTCGGTGGAACGGAGCTCGAGCCTAGTTTGGCACTGCTACAGGATTTTCTACGGGAACATGTCGACTTCAACACCGTAACCAAGTTTGCAATGGTTGATGTACACACGGGACTTGGACCTGCTGGTGTTGACACGCTGATGCTTGGAACGGGAAGCGACATGGCGGTAGCACGCAGCGTCTTCAGTGGCCCCGAGTACACGAACAAGGTGGTCTTCATGCAAGATAACGAGAATTCTGTGGCACGAGGATATGATGGTGTTGGTGGTCTCACTTCCGATGGTGTGTCAAAGCTATTGACCTCACAAACTAAAGGGAACGCTCTTTTGTTCTGCCAAGAGTTCGGGACGGTGCCTGGTGTGTTCGTCCTGAAGGCATTGATTGAGGAGAATACCATGTACTACCACGGATCGTCATCTGCAGGTCGCTTGCCGTACGCACAGAAACTCCGGGATGTGTTTTATTTACACCAGAGCAGCTCCTGGAAGAGTGAGGTGCTGCGTCGCGGTGCTGACGTGTATGATCGATTGTTCGCGTATCTATCCTCGCAGTTGTAAAAGAGACCCCGGCAGAGCATTTTAGTTCTGTGATCATCTCTGAGCAAGTAGAACGTAAGCAGATAACAAAAGGTGCTATTTGCTCACACATGGAGTTGACATGTGAGTCAAGAATCTTCTGGCATAGATGGTTTTAACTGCATTCTATGAAACTCGGCAGAAGTCATTACGGTCTACGTTTTTTTCGTGTCCCTGAAGCGCATTTGTCGTGTAGAGTTATCTGCTTCCTACGAAGTACTAATATTACTTCTACTACAAAGTTCTACAGTGGTGGAAATGACCCAATTCAGTCAGCAATCCTCGAGACGCCACCAAGCGAGGGTGAGTAAATCATCCAGCCGTACCTTATTGTCACTTATGCACTTCCAGCATTCGCTGGCACTGCCAGTGGCAGCGAAATGGAAAGTGGCAGGTGAGATGAACTTGTCGTCTCGAACAGCATTAACATATTTCAGTACTTATGTAAACCACGCTGAATTCAATGCCTCCTTTCATTGGCTGAAACTTCGCATTTTCGAATGACTGGCTGTTGTGGGGCGCTTCTCGGCTGACACCAACCGTAACGGCCCCATTCGTTTATTCGCCATCTACGATCACCATGCCCACCAAGAAGGTCAAGCGCACCACCACCACCACCACCACGACCAAGACCACTAAGGGGGTCAAGGTCTCGGCTGCCTCGAAGAAGGACCCCCTCTTCGTGTCTGCCCCCAAGAACTTCCGCAAGGGCGGTGACATTCAGGTATTTTGAAGCGCCGTCTCTAAATCCTATCGTTTAGCCTCTTTGTCTCTCGATGAGAGGGACAAAGGCAGCGATTTCACGCCCCTCAGTGGTGACAGAGGAAAAACGTTTGAGTGCGTTGCCAAAGTGCTGCGTGACTCGACCCCTCTTTCTCTGTCTCACTTGATAACAGTGTAGCGGGTCCCCCACGACCGCAATGACACAAACTTGTGGTGGCAATTTCATTCGTTCGCGATGATTTGCGCCTCAAGGGTAAAGAATCTCGCTCTCTGCCCTATTGTCATGCACAAGCTCACTCGTGGAGGACGTGTTTTGTCATATAACAGCTTTACTAACTCTATCACTGTCTTGCTTTTAACTTCTCTCTACAGCCCAAGCGTGACCTGTCCCGCTTCGTGCGTTGGCCACGTTACGTACGTCTTCAGCGTCAGCGCAAGGTCCTGTACCAGCGTCTGAAGGTGCCGCCGTCGATCAACCAGTTCTCCAACACTGTGGAGAAGAACGTGGCCACGGACCTGTTCAAGCTGCTGCTTAAGTACCAGCCGGAGACCAAGGCCGCCAAGACCCAGCGTCTTCGCAACATCGCTGCCGGCAAGGAGGAGGCCTCGGCCCCGCCCGCCGTCGTGAAGTTCGGTCTTAACCACGTGACCTCGCTGATCGAGAACAAGAAGGCCAAGCTCGTGGTCATTGCCCACGACGTTGACCCCATTGAGCTTGTGGTGTTCCTGCCCGCTCTGTGCCGTCAGTTCGACATCCCGTACTGCATTGTCAAGGGCAAGGCTCGTCTGGGCCAGCTTGTGCACCAGAAGAACGCCGCTGTTGTTGCTCTGACGCACGTGAACAAGGAAGACAAGGCCAAGTTCGACTCGCTGACCCAGGTGTTCCGCACCAAGTTCAACGAGGACGTCCAGGCTCGTCGTAAGTGGGGCGGTGGCATCATGGGCCTGAAGACCCAGAAGAAGCTGGAGCTGCGCGAGAAGGCGATCGCCGCTGAAGCTGCCAAGAAGGCCCAGTACTAAGTTATGTACCGGGTTTGAAGCGCAATGTGGCGTGGCATGCCACCTCTTGTCTTCTTTATTCGTAGGTGCTCTCGACAGGAAGCGTAGTCCTTCCTGGAAAGTGTAATGGCTGAATAACATTCAAACATCTAAAGTCACATTGCGTACGTGCACAATTATTATATCTGCCGGCATGCAGTGCAGGATACACATGGATTAAGCGCAGTAAAAGCAAAGGCATCATGTATCCGTAGCATGGATACACGATGGGTGTCAAGGCTTCACCGCTTTTACGACTTCTTCGCTGTTTTCACTAGGCGTTTGTATGCTGTCAAATTGCAATGATATCAGTTAAGCGTTTGAAACTGCTTAGAAAAAGTGTGCTCCATTTTCGTCCGACCTTCTGCAAAGCAGAGCTCACGCGCTCTTCTTGGGTTCATAATGGGTGAGTTTTGGTACATTTCTCTTTGTCGATCTTCTCTCCACTCACCCATAAAGCTTTCAATGCGTTCATCTCCCTTCTAACTGCTCTACGCCAACAGAACTCGCGGCGGATCTCAAAGTGGAGGAGACATCGCCTGATGATAACAAGCCCCAGAACTCCTCCAGCAGCTCGACAATGACGTCCGATTCCTCTCCTAACCACGGCGGTGTCAGTCCAACAGCCAAGAGTGAAGAAGGCTCCGTGGCGTGGCCTCGCTCTTCTCAGACTGAGGGAACGTACTCGACAGACCTTTTCCAATCTTTCCCAAAAGTCTGTCAAAAGGCAAAAAGCGGCGTGCAACTTTGCCAGGCCGTCTCAGCTTTTGTCATTGAGCGTGCGGGACTGGAGAGCAATTACGCGCAGTCACTGCTTAAGCTGGCACAGTAAGTAGGGCTATTGCTGAACTGTTCAGGATCTATTCACTTTGACATCATTCTGTTGGTGCGCTTGTGCAGGAGTGCAAAGGCTGAAGACTGGTCGAAGCAATTTACAGAATGCTGGGCCACATTTCAAGAAGCCACAGAGCATCTGGCTCAAGAGCGGTGGGCATTTGCCCAAACCATGCAGACCTCTATTGTTCCTGGTGCCAAGGCCTTCGCGGCGCAGCAGGAAACTCAGGTGCATCGACTCGTTTCAGGTTTGTCACGTTATTAGTTTTCATTATAATTATTATGGCGTCATAAGGATTTTAACGCAGTTGGTTTCTTGTAACTGTTTGCAGAGGGGACCAAGGTGCGTTGGGCTCAACAGCAGATGATTTCTTCGATGGAGAAAGCAAAAGAAAAGTACGATCGCAAATGCCAAGAAGCGATCGAGATCACGACAGCAATGCGAAAGAGTGACAACAGCACGTTAGCAGACGTTAATTCCTCGTCCTCTGACTCGTCAGATGAAGTTTCAGCGTCAAAGGAGCTGACCGACAAACTGGCAGCAGGTGCTGGGCAATTGCTGACAAAGATGTGGGATACCACGTCTTCTTTTGGACGCAACCCGTTGGAGCGACAGAGATCAAAGTTGTATAGCAGTCTTGAAGACGTTATCGCCGCGGAAAAGCACTACGTTCATACGGTGGATTACACAAACGCGCAGCGACTCATTTTCGAGCGGGAAATCAAGGAGAATTTGCACGCTTTTCAGCTTACAGAAGAGCAGCGTCTCGAATATCTTCGAGATGTACTGATGCGCATGCAAAAGGCATTTATTAGCATGTTTTCGCGGTCTCAGCAATTCGTCGAGCGGATGAAAGCAAGCGCCAACAAAGTTGATGAACTGGGTAAGCAGACTTATCACCACTGTAATGGTTGGTACTTTACTGATGCATTATGAATGATTCCTAGCTGATATTGAAAAGGGGTTCCAAAGTCTTGGAGGCCAAGACGAGATAGATGTCGACCGAGCAGACTTGTCGACTAATCCTTCCTACCTACGCATGACGCATATCCAGGAGATGTCGGACACCGGACACCGGATGGTTGGAATCATCAACTCAGTGGTGACAGAATTTATTGCGAGCGAGACCCGCTTTTCACATTCTCTGCGTAAGCTACTGCGACTGCACGAAAACGGTGGACACGCCCCACCTACAGATCTATTCGGCACATCATCCAATACAATGAACTTCCTGTCTGATGAAGGTGCATCGATGGCGAATGGTTGGATGGCAGTGAAGGATCAAGTAAAGCTTCTCCTGGAAGTTCACCAGGTATGCTACCAAGATCTTTATAGTCTCCTGCGTTGTTCTCATGGTTGTTGTTGCAATGCAGGAATTCCGATCGCTACTTGCCGAGCCCGTGTCTCTCAGCCTTGCCACCATGAAGAGTGAGTACGAGAGCGTTCGTGTTACTACACAAGAGAGCTTCTCGAAGCTGCATTCGTCATTGTGCAATGAAGCGGGTGCTCATAAAAAGCTTCATCAAAAGCTTGATACGAAAGCCAGGGACTTTGCGATGACCTTTTCGTATCTGCCAGGAGCAACCCCTGTCGCCACAAATTCTTACGGCATCGATGTCACTCAGGCTTTGATGGTGCTTAGTGCCAATGCTCGTTTGTTTAATGAAAAGGAGCGACGATCGGAAGCCAAGCTCCGTCAGCTTGCGGAGGAAATTCGTCAGCTACAAGCGCAAGCCACAGAGAGCACCAAGGTTTTAAAGCAGACGTACCAGAATTATGTTCAGGTTCGTGTTGAGCTGGCTTTGTGAGGCTTTCTGTATGATTATTTCTAACTAACTGTGATCACCAACCTGTGTAGGAAATCGAGGTGTTTATTTCAACATGCATGAAAAACGAGAAATACCGGCTTCAAGTCGGCAAAAACTCGTTACAATCGCTTGCAAAAGCCGTCGAGCACATGCTGCAGGGAGGAGCGTCAGTCGGAAACAAGGCCTTGATAGAATTCGAGAAGATCGATCCAAGCACGGATATGGCCGAGTTTATTCGAATCAACCGGCAGCCGTACGAACGGACCAAGCGCATCGTTCCTGCTTATCACGGCAATGACAACTTGAAAGAAGCAATGCGAGAATATCTTTCGTCGCTGAGAGCTCCTTCATCGATAACCTCAGAAAACTCGGATAATAATCCGCGAAGCCGCACAAGCAGCTTCAGTCCGTTTGGCGAGATCAATGCTTCATCCGAGAAAAAATCCCCGCGCACGAGAGTTAGACTGGAAGGAGACGATCATACAGCTACTGCAAACGAAAATGGTGCAGATGGTAGCCTCTCTGACGAGGATGAAAGCGAAGATTCTGGAACTGAACAAGAGGAAGAATTCACCGAATCACAGCCACTTGGTGTTTCCGATTTCCAAAAGAAGTTTAAGGTAAAAGCGGTGCAAGCTATACCCAGGTTGTTACCGATCTATTAACTGTGATGTGTTGTTCGATGTAGCTCGATTCACCGGAGCAAGTCGTTGAAAGCTTTTCGTGTGCACTCTACCTCTCCAACTTCCCGTACCATGGTCGACTTTATCTTACAAGGGACCGAATGTGCTTCTCTGGATGGATGGACACAATATTCGTACGTTACTACAACTATGAAGTGGAGAATTGGTGGATATGTGATCTAACGGCGTTCGTTGCAGGTTGCTTCATTCTCTGACATTTCAGCAATGGAGAAGAAAAACACAGCGCTGATAGTTCCCAATGCTATTGAGGTTCGTGTAAAGCTTGTATTCACTGCTTGTTTGATGTTATGCACTTACTCATGTCATTTCGAATTACAGCTCACAGTCAAAGGAGAGAAAATATTTTTCGCTTCATTTGTATTTCGGTAAGCTCTCGTTCTTGTACTTATATTTTCCGCAGCACGGTAACTTCCAGCTAATTTGTAAAACAGTGATGAATGTTATCAGAGCATCCAGCAACTACGATCCATCAAGAAGGAGACAGAAGAGTTAATGTCAGATCCAGCAAACCACTCTGACCCAGAGACGACTGACAGCGAGTCTAGACGACGAAGGAGTTCTAAGGACTTAGCTGCTGTTGCTCCTAGTTCCGAATCGAGCTCCACTGATGCGACTCCAGTAGACGACAACCGTCCCCCGTCGTCCTTTTCTTCGAAAACTATGGCATCAACACCACCAACTAATATTCCAGACAAGGATACTCTGCTGAGTGAGTACGATATATTGATGGACGAAGAGGTGGAATTCAGGTAAGAAACTCTGCAGAAACGTAGTAACTGATGGGCTAGAATGTGCACTAACGATCCTCTGTGTTTCTTTGCTATGCCTCCAGTGTTGAGACTGCTTACTCAACGTTATGGATCGAGTCGGATACTTTCTCGCGTAACCTACTTGAGGCGGCCGGCGCAACGAACATATCTCTCCCTGCTTGGGAGAAGAAAAGTACCTCGTACACAGCGGTGGCCACTCCAGATACGTTTGATGGCTCTCGTGTGGTTTCATACACCCACAACAAGAAGTATATGGTAGGGCCCAGCGTCATTCCGACCACCCAAACCCAGCGCTATGCGTACACACCTGGTAGTCGCCTTGTTGTGAGCACGACAACATGCGTTTCCGATGTTCCGTACTGCGATTACTTCCGAGTTGAACATCGATGGGTCTTCAGTGCTACGAAAAATAGAGGCATGTGCTTGGCTCAAGTGGGGCTACGCGTACAATGGTCGAAAAACACATGGCTGAAGAAACAGGTATTGGCGTGTGATGCATTGTCAGACATTTATTCCACTGACTTTGCTGTCGTTACCATTTACTATTTAGATTGAAAGCACGACAGTCACTGAGGCTAAGGATGCTGTAAAAGCATGGTTAAACGCTGCTCTCGATGCAACAAAGGAGCAGACATCAACTGGAAGCAGTTCTAAGTCTCCAGCTCCTGCTAACAAACCTTCGGAACAGCCATCTGAGTCTGTGAGCACACGCGATGCTCCACCCAAAGAACCAACTAAAGAGGTTGATAGCTCAACGAGTTCATCATCAACTGCGCCGAATAAGGCTGCTTCTACTTCGAGCAACGGACTGCCGGCACAACTTCACCCTACAATTCAAGCGGCAATCATCATCTGTGCGCTGATGTTTGTCTACACCATGTATCGAGTGTGTGCTGCGATGAACCAAATGCAAGCGTTAACAAGGGAGTCGCTGGTCCAACAGCGTCAGCAACATGAGCTGCTAAAGGAGCTTTTAGAGAAGCTTGGAAGTACGAGAGAGCGATAACCGACAACTTGAAACATCTCCTTCAATGGACACTGAAGTACTTGTGGCCTGGTGTTTATTGACTATACCCTTCTTCATCTTCTTCCTACGTAACCACAAGTAACAGTGTCAAGTGCAAGCGAGTGAGATATGACCAATGTTGCATCATACCTCGTCACTGTACGAAGGGAGAGTTGCAAAACTTAGCATCGGAACGTCTTGAGGTCGGAAGTGTGGTTGACTCGTATCTTCGGCGGTGATAAGCTGGACATCATCCAGATCGTCTGAAAGCGAGAGGATCAAAGCATGTTTGCGTTAGTTCTTCCACAATCAACGACAATTGAGTGAATTTTTTTTACCTTCTTGTTGCTGATCATCCTCCGGCCAGCACTCAGTGCTCCACGTGTCACGGACACTGCTTTGATTGCTATGACTACTGGAATTCCGTGCCTTTGCTTGTCTTAGAGCAGCTTGCAAACTTTCAATTTCGTGCTGCATGCTGCTCACTCGCTTTTTCATCACTGTATTTTCCTGTTTAATGAGCGCAAACTCTGATCACAAGACAGTTACTTCGTGAAGCAATCAAGAATTATACTTTAAGTAGCATTCACGTACCAAAAATGTCCTGCCCACATGTACACCAGGCTTTCGCTCCTTTGCTGTTGCTTGATTTGATGGGACTCTTTCTGCTCGTCATGTCAACGTAAGTGCTAAACTCGTCTCGAATGCGTGATAAAAGACGACCGTAATGCTGCATCACAAAGCCACGATCAATTCAATGCTGCCGACTCAAATATAAACAAATAAACTATACCTCGTCTTGCAGAACGATGCTGTCGAGTACGTTTTGGCACGCTCGCGTCCGTGACAGGGTTTTCTCCGGTAACTACATGAGAACATAAGCTTAAAACTCGAAAGCACCACCTTTCAGCTAACGTACGTTAGAGCGTCCTATTTCATTTAATCGTTCCACAAGTTCCACTTCGAGTTGCACAGAGGAAGATCTGTATCCACCCACGAGAACTGGTGGCGCTGGATGTGGTACGTTGGAAATGGTTGTTGTTTGGGCAGGGTTGGACATCAGAATGGAGGCACTGGCTGATCGATTAGGACCGATACCCACTCCAGAGACGCATTCTTCCTGGTTTTGCAACTTGTTCGCTGGTGCCAATACTCCTGAATTTTTTCGGGCAAGACTCACGATGCCGTGGCATGCCGACGATGTATCTATGTTGGAAGTGTAATATCCCTTGGCTTCTTTTGTATGAGTCTTGGAGAATGAGGCGGACGCCATCTTTCGAAGCGCATCAATCTGAGCCTGCAACTTGTGGTTTTGGTGCTGATATCCGTTGTTGGATCCCTGCTCCACGGCGTGAAAAAGCTTCTTCCGGACTGCTGATGCTGACGAGGATCTCCTGCTTGTCAAATGAGAATTAAGAATTATCAAACAGTTAAATAGACCTAAGGTTTGGCCTACCTCAGCATCTGGCGAGTATTTGGCGGTGCTAGTAGCGCGGATTCGTGTGTATTCGATGCTACAGGCTTAGCTTTAGTAGCCGTCTTGGTGACACCAAAGGATCGTTTTGCGGTATCTTCCGTTCTTGTCTTGTAGTTCATGATCGACGATTTACTGCGAAGGTACCCTGGATGGGTCCCAAACTTCGATGCTAGCTCACGGTCAATTTCAACTCGGAGGTCCGAGAACGAGTTCTTGTCGGCATGCTGAGGCGAAACAAGGTTGCAGTACATGTAAGCACACCACACACTTATGGTTTGGGATGATAGTATCTTACTTTGCCGAATATGCCATTGTGAGAATTACCATTTTCTTGATCAGTATTATTCCCGGAAAACAACGGACGATAATGCTACAAATGCAAGCACACGTGAATTAGTTATAATCGCAAATGTCCCGTCGACCCCCTACGTACCGATACGGCAGGGCCAGCATTGTACGCGCTGCTACGCTTGCGCTGCATGATACTCGAGCTTTCTCTTTCGTCCGCAATTACTCGTCTTAAGGCAAAATACGTTTTCGCCTAACAATAACTCTATTGAAAATGGATTGTATGCAAGTTGCCAAATTTGGCAAAAACAAGTCTAGAACTCCAGCATTCCCGCTCGTGAATTACTCATCATCGCTGTCCTCCTCCTCCTCGTCATCGAAGTGTCCCTTACGGCGATTCCGGTTCACATGCATCATAGCAAAACGGTCCTCAACCATCGTCAATCCATTCGACGATGAGGCAGTAGGCGTTTGAGCCTCTTCCCCGCCCGCATCGTCACCTTCCTCGTCGCTCTGCTCTTCATCTTTGTTCACGGTGTCTCCCTGAGTCCACGCCGGCCCAGTGGGCGAGTCGTCAAAAGCTGCAGGCCTAACGAAAAAAAAAACCCAACGATCAGTGACACTACTTCTGACCTCTAAGAAATAACTACTTTGTTTCTCCTTATTGCAGCGTACCAGAGTTCCTTGCGCTTAAGGTTTTTGATCTGCTCTTTGTACAAAATGTGCTCCACAATGGACGTCACGGCACCTTTCTTGCCCGTGGCAGTCGTGGCTTCTCCACCGTCGCCCTCGCCGACAATCAAAAAGTCTCCTCGCTTTACCCAAATGAGCTTGCGGAACTTGGTGGGCAACATCGTCACAGATTTTACGCCATTGGCATCCACCACCTACGATAAAAAAAAACAGCGCAAGGTCAGTATCATCAACTCTATTATCTCCTTCATTCGTTGAAGCTGCACCTCGAACAGGTTGCTGCCACGCAGAGCAGTGACGCGCACGATGAGCTCGTTCTCCTTGGGTTCTGGGTCGCCATATAGCACGCGCTTGGTCACGCCCTTGCGGTACGCGCTTTTCCGTCCACTGCCCGACATGTCAATAACAACCTTTTTCAAATTTGCAACTCAAGTCAAAATCACAATTGAGTTGGACTATAAAAAAAGGAATGGACCAGACGATCTGTAGCCAAGTGCACAAAACTGTGTGACGTGCACAAAACTGTCAGCACTTCCGAATCAACGATGGCTGGACGAGGACGCGGACGTGCCAACACGCTACCGGCATGGATGACTAAGCAAGGTCTTAACGAGCCACCTGCTGGACCTTTGCCAGACTCACGTCCACCACCTCCTGCTGAAGGACCTCCGCCACGCAATGGCCAGTTCGATGACGCGCCCGAGCCGAACCGCGGCCCAATGACACGCAACGACATTGGTGTGCCGTCCGGTGGCAAGCGGCGCTCACGCTCTCGGGATCGCGGAAACGGCCCCAACGGCAACATGAGAGGACTGCCACCTAGGCAGGACCGACCCCGCTCGCACTCTAGGGATCGAGGCAATGGTCCCAATGGCGACGTGAGAGGACCACCACCCAGACAGGACCGACCCCGGTCGCGTTCTCGGGACCGAGGAAACGGGCGAGACCGGGGCTATGGCTACGATGCGGACCGACGTCGGGAAGATCCGTATCGATGCGGACCGCCCCGTGGACGCTCCCGCTCGCGTTCACGTGAACGTCAGGACTATCGAGGAGACTATCGACGTGGTGGTGACCGCTACGAAAACCGAGGATACGGTTACCGCGGACCGAGAAATGACGGACGGCCGATGCGCAGGGAGGAGGAAGCCATGGAGCGCGGCTACCGACGCCCTGCACCTAACGGACACGACGACCGCACGTCCCGCAGATATGCGTCGGACTACCAGCCGTAGACGCGAAGTATCACCCATTTTTTTTTTTTTTTGCCAAAGTGGAAGATGCTAGGTGTTACGCAAATGCAGGTCGAGTCGACATCATATGCAACTTGAGATGAATGACGGGATGGTGGGGTATTATAATAGCAGGTGAGTGATGCAGATAGTCATTGCACAGAGCTAGAGCTTTGGTGCTCGACGTCACGAGTAAAAATAAAAGCACTCGATTCTATAATTGGAGCATGGTCGAGTTGCGTCGCATTGTTGCACTTCGCTTTTCATTGTGTTGAGGTATTGAACGGTATTGAACATGGCAAGCGCTTCGAGTCCCGCGGCATCATTGCCTGGTTTAACACCGACCATCATGTCGCCGACTGACACAGCTAGCGAAACTGTGACGGGTCAGGAGGATGCTGCTGTCAAGAAAACTGACGTCGTGTCAACTACGAAGACACGTGAGCCAAAGCTGCTTTTCGCTGTTGCGAAGAATGTTGTGACTGCGTCAAATGCTGCGCGGTTGAAGAAACAATCTCCTGTTAATGTCAAAAGCCCCATGTCTGCAACGGGAGAAACCAATGGGAGCATGCGAACTGTGTTCGGAATCATTAAACGAGCTCAGACGAGTGATTCACAGCCATCGGAAGAGAATCAACAGCAATCGAGAAATCGAGAGTCAAAATCTGAACAGGAATCCGCGTCAATCGAGACTGAAGATCGAACCAGATCGGAGTCCGGAGACAAACCAGGACGGAGCTTCGTGGATAATGTGAGAGAAATCCTGGAGAAACTGGTAACACAGTTGGATAGCGTCGATCCCCGCAAATTGCTAGCAGTGCGGCTTGGCGGCGAGCTGCGAGGGTTACTAGGCAAGGCACAGGATGAATTCGCAGCATACGAGATGGAATTCGTGGAGCATGCAGCTAACGAAGGCGTTTCAGTAGCCTTGCAGAACTTTTCAGCTTCACTGACTCAAGTTTCTGCTATTGCGGAGCGATTGCGCACCGCGAAGTTCATGCTGAATCGAACATTTAAGCGCGAGGTGACATTTGCCTTTCAGGAGATCAACTCGTACTACACGTCGCTCTTCATGGAGCTATCCATGGCAGTAGCTCGACGATCAGGAATTGATTTACCACTCCAACCACCCACAACTCCAGAACCAGAGGAAGCAGCCGCTCCATCAGGGGACGAGGTTTGCTTGGAAGCTCATCAATATTTCTTTGGACACGGAGTCGCCAAAGATCTGCGTAAAGCTTTCGAACTCTACACGGTAAGTCTTAATCACGCATTTTCTCGACGACACACCACGCAGTCTAACATCATGATGCTTATACAGCAAGCTGCTAATCTCGGTTGTGCAGTGGCAATGACGTGCTTGGGTCAAATGTATTTTGCTGGGAACGGAACGGAGAAAGACTTGCTAGTCGCTGAAAAATGGTTTGAACTTGCATCGTCAGCGGGTGATACTGAAGCATGTCATCAATTGGGTCTCTTGATGGTAACAGTCCATGCGTTCTTTCACTCAATTCAACTTGGTCGTATTCTGACGCGCTATCCTCAACGTCAGTGCGAGAAAGCAGCGCATTTGAAAGACCTAAAGCAATCGGACAAGTTCTTCTCCCTCGCTCGGGTTCGTTTTAGCCAGGCAGCGGGGCAAGGTCATCGCGATGCCCAATACGAGCTAGGTAAAGTCCGTCGCAATATAAATACTTGGTAGTCATACTCAACTATACTCTCGATGCATAGGTGTTTTCCACGAGACCGGAAAAGGTGGATGTGAGCCAAACGAAAGCGGAGCGGTCACGTGGTACATGAAAGCTGCCGACCAGGATCATACAGGGGCCGAGTCCAGCCTCGGGCGTCTTTTTCTTGTTGGCACGCAGCTTCAGCAGGATATTGTTAAAGCCGTTCATTTCCTGCACCGTGCAGCTGCCAAGGTATGTTCCAGACACTTGTGTAGCTGGTACATCATCTGAACTCTTGCTCTTCGCAATTAGAGCGATTCCAGTGCCCAAACACGGTTAGGCTTGCTGTACACGACAGGAAATGGAGTAAAGCAAGATGTGGAGCGCGGAATGGCATTTCTGCAGAGCGTATGTCGTCCTCAATTGTTGGAATGTTCACCATATTGTGCTCTTGCTAACTTGACGACTTCTTGTTTCAGGCTGCAGACGCTGGTAGTAGCGTGGCCATGACGCGACTTGCAAGTTTATTTCTAGCCCAAGTGCCACAAGAAAACGGAGCAATGACATCATCAAATACGCCGTCTTTATCTGCGCAATTTCGAGACCGCGAGGAGTCTCACGACGAAGCGCTCCGTTTACTCTTGAGCGCTGGCCATGGGGGACATACTGATGCGTACTACGCACTTGGAAAAATGCTCGAGGCATCATCGCTACTTCGAGATCAATCTGCTGCCCTTCGCTTCTACTCAAAAGCTGCCACAGCAGCAACAGTAAGCTTGAACTCGGAATAATGCTGCACCAAACTTTCCAAACACTTCACTAATTGTGACTTTGTAGCCCCACACGAAAGCCGCAAAGCGTGTAGCCACGATGTACTACTCGGCTATAGGCTGCAAAGCTGATAAATGGAAGGCACATCGATTCTACACGATCGCTGCAAACGCCGGCGATGCAGAAGCCTTGAACGCCCTGGGTACGGTTCCAGTTCTAGCACACATTCCACTATTGACGCGCAATTCTGACGTGTTACGAGCAGGTCTCATGTACGAAGAAGGTGACGGCTGTGACTTGAATTTTCGGAAAGCTGCCGAGTGCTATCGTACCGCTGCAGATCTGAATAGCCCGCACGCCCACTTCAACCTGGGATGCCTTCTATCATATGGAAAAGGCGTCGCACGCAATGTAGATGCAGCACAAGCCCATTTTCAAAAGGTGCGTTGACTTGACTGCGTGTACCGGAAGATGACTACGGCAAACTTACTCCAGCTCGGACGTATATCTTGGATCGTAAAATTTGCAGGCCGTGGAGCTTGGCTACTCGCTGGCACAGCAGTTTGTAATTGACGAAACCCAGTGAAGGCTGGCTTGGATCATCCTTATTTATGCCCTCGTAGTGTGTGCATGTTGCTGCTAAAATGACACGGAAAGGAAAAGAAGCCACACGCATTTATTATCGAAGTAATATGCAAGGGGTCCCAGTGAAAAGCACGTACATGCAGTACGTACGCACGTCTCTGTAAATGCCGAAGATCTTGCCAGGTTGGCCATGATAACAAGGCTTTCCCTTGTTCTTTATCAGTTGAATCGCTTCACGCGCAACAAGTGGCGCAAACCTTACTGAATACCTTCAACATACACGACTAAGCAAGCTGCCGACGCGCATATTTGCCCTCGTCCATGAATTCAACGGCCACCGTTCTGTTTGAGAAGCCACGGCCATGAAGCTCCGTGGCCGCAGCCTGGGCTGACTGCACATCGCCAAACTCAACGTAGACCTTACCGACAGCACTGGGGATCCCATCACGCGGGCGCGGCAGCAATAACGACGGAACAGCTCCGAAGCGCTCGCACTCACCCTTGATGTCGTCTAGAATGTCAGCATACTCTTCTTCATCCTCAAGTTCCTCCGGTGTCACCATGTTGAGCAGCACGATCACACGAGAGGGCGTACCGAGCGGTACACTGGGGATACCTGCCATGCTCATCGCCTGCATCGCAGCAAGCGACGGGTCTAGTCCCATTTCCAGGCCCGTGTTCACTGTACCTGCAGCGCTGGCAACAGCCTTCGCGTTCTCTTGCGACATCGCTCGGCGCACTGTCAGCGTCTTGTCACCAAGTCGCATGTCGTTTAGTCCAAGGCACGCAGCATCTGTCACGTTGATGTCCATGTACTCGCAGAATCCGTAGCCCTTCGACAGATTGGAGCTCAGCTCCTTCACAAGGTGGAACGATCGCAGCGGACCGAACGCTTGTAGCAGCTCCTTCACCTGTTCCTCATTGAGATGATACGGCAGGCCGCCAATGAAAATCTTACCCGGACCATCGCTCACAGTGGTGGACACAATGCCCAAAGCAGCCAGATTAAGCTGCGGGATCGGTCCCAGGTCCTTCGGAACAGTAGCCGGGTTATAGTCGTTAGGACGGCGGATCTTCAGTGGCTGTCCATTGTACGACACACCGTCCAGGTTCATACAAGCCGTCGTAAGCTCAATGGAACGCAGTTCCACAAAGGCGAAGTGACGCTCGCGGTTGATGTACACCGACACCACGGAGCCTCCTTCCTGCTTCTCGCCCAACGCACGGTCAATGACGTCGTTAAAGAACGCGGTGATCTCTGCCTCTGAGATCTCACCGATGCCACCGACATACAGTCGACGAGCATGACGCGTCTGCTGCGACATACCGGAGGAGAAACCGTAGCCCGGGCCGGCGTGCGAATGCGAGTACATCGGCGCTGCCGGAACATTCTAAATGAGAGGAAAACAACACGAAAAAATAACCAGTTAGAGGACATGCGAGAGAATCGCGCTCGAAATCCAGCGCCACTCCTGGACAGTGCAGAGCTGCCGACGGACAGACAACGGACAACGCACACACAACGACATCGTGTCAGCCGTTGTATCTTTCCGTGCTGTTGGTAGCCGTGCTCCGTGTCGGCAAAAAAAAAGTTGGACAAACGTTGACTCACCCCAGTAGGCGTCGGGTTTGGCGGTGCTCCGAAAGACGCTGGGCCGACTGAGCCCGAGAGTGCAGCCATATTCTGCTGCAAAATGGCTTGGGCTGCATAGGCGGCGGCGTTCTCCTCAGTGACTCCGGGCGGGCGCACGTCAAAGTTGGATTTCTTGCGGCGACGGACTATGCGCGTCGACGAGCGCGAGCGGCTGCGTCTGGACGAACGGCGCTCCGAATGGTCACGGGAGCGACGGCGTTCGCGCTCCCGACTGCGGCTGCGACGGTCACGGGACGAACGATGGCGCGAGGAGCGTCTCTCCCTGCTACGGCTGCGGTCTCGGCGGTGCGACGAGCCCGAACGACTACGATGACTACGGCGGGAACTGCGGTGGCGATCGTCCGCGGGATCTGCGGGATTGGAGCTGCCATTTGAGATCTCCTATAGGGTATAAGTTACGTAAGTATAGTTGTAATTGAAGGTTAGTACGTGGTAATGCCTTATACCGGTGCGTCGGCGAACTGAGACGACGCTGGAGGGGGCATTCGCTGCGGCTGCGGCTGCTGGTGAGGAGGAGGGTATGCACTACGCGGCGGGGCCAGAGGCTGTGCAGGTCCTGCCTCCTGCTGCTTCTTCATCCACGCTGGCAGCGTGAGCTCTCGTCCACGGCCGGCCATGATGCTCGTCTGAAGCTTGATCTATCTATCTGCTCCTTCGTCCACCACTGGCCGCCGCCCCGTGGCAGTCACTATCAAAACCTGTGATAATGCATATTTGGCTATTTAAAAGAAACAGCACTTTTATTGTGAAGAACAATATATAATAGCTAACACACGTAGAACTGAAGAAATGTAAGGAAACGAAAACAAATATTCGACTTCAGTTATTCGATTAAACAGATCTCCATGGCCGCCTTGATTTAACTAAAGAGGTTCAGCAGAAGTTGAAGCTCACGTGCCGCAGTCGCGCATGACCTGCTGCGCGATAGACAGCGTGTTGGCGTCGCTGCCCGAGGGAATCTCGCTGTTCCACGTGCACGACGGGAGCTGCTTCAGCTGCTGCACGGCGCGCTTACAGGCATTTTGGTCGCATAATTCGCGCGCTTGGTCGGCTGGAAGCCACTTGACAGTCGTGAACAGAAGCGGCGCGATGCATTCTCTCAATGCATCAGCCAGGCCACCCTCGTTGGTGTTGAGAGTGAAGCGTAGCTGGGTGAAGCCATCGCAGTTCGCTGTGCCGCCTACAGCAGTAGTCATAGCCTGCAGCATAAATAGCACTTGAATTCGCATCTTTCTGGGTGTGGACGCGTCCCAGTCCGCGATAATTCGGAAATGCCACTCACCTTAATCTCCAAAGTTGACTAGGATGCCGTTGACATCAATGCATTTCATGGGTGTGGTTAACTTTAGCGACCCTTCATGCAACTCTACAAAGATATTCCACGAGTTGCAAAGCATTTAAAGACTGAAGGACGATGAGTGCGAATCGAGCCGTCTCTAAGCCAACAGAGGAGCTCTTTCGGGTGTGCGAGACAGGTGACGTACAGGCAGTCTCACGTCTGCTGCAAGACCCGGAAGTTGACATTAATTGGCAGTGCTCGCAGTCGGTCAGGAAATGACACAAATCGGGTGTTTGGTTGACTGAAGAGGTTGACCGGAATTATTGTGTCTTCCGCAGTATGGGGCTACGCCGCTTATAGCTGCCATTTCCCACGGCCACCAAGAGATCGTACAGATTCTGCTAAACGCTGACGCTGAGCTTGGAGTGGTCAAGACTCCCGTACGCCATTCGGAGACACTTGAATCGTGTCAACTGCTGACAAGTTGCTATTTGAATGCAGGATCGTAATAGCCCACTACATGAGGCTGCTTTTGCAGGCGATCCAAATATCATGCAGTTTGTTCTGAACAAGGTGCTTGAGAAATCAGGAGACAACGCTGCCGATCTCTTGAATTTGCAAAACCAAGTAAGAACTAGCGCTTACCTTGGGGATACGCTGCTTAATTTCTATGTTCTACGTTTGAAGTTTGGAAACACTCCACTGCACAACGCAGCTCGAACGGGAAGTCCAGGTTGCGTCTCCAATTTGTTACAGGCTGGTGCAATGCCCTCCATTAAGAATGTCGTAAGTGAGCTCGTATCGTCTTGTTCGTTGATACCGTGCACTGAGAGTTACTTGACGATGCTGCAGAATGGATCCATTCCACTGCACCATGCGTGCTACAGTGAAACGCCGAACTTGGAAGTTGTTCGGCTACTTGTGGAAGCTGGATCTGATGTCAACGCTTTGGACGAGCAAGGATACTCCCCGCTAATTGTAGCTGCCAAGAAGAACCAAACAGAGGTCATCGAATACTTGCGAAAGCACGGTGCCGACACCACGCTGAAGAACTCGGTACGTGTGCGTCATTCTTCGCTGTCTTATGTTAGTCGGCCTGACATTTTAATCATATGCGTCAGTTTGGCGAAGATGCACTCCACTTCGCGGAGCTGCGCAACAATACAGGCGCGATCCAGTTATTAGAGTGAACCAAACGCTCACACATGTTGGTTCTCCACCAACCTCGTGCCGTACACCTACGCACCTCCTGAAATGAATGCCTAACGTTGCTTAGCTTCTCATTTCATCACAGTAACAGCTACCTTGATATGTTCGAACAGGGGCATCTGATGAGCTATGGTTCATTGTTTTGGGTTGAAGGCGGTGGAAGCTCCTCGAGACTACTCGTAAACCATCATCAACTAGATCCGGCCAAGAATTTATTTTACTTTGTGCAAACCTCGAGATCCTACAAAATACGTCTGGGCGAAGAAAGCGGCGCAGATATATGCCCGCGACATACGGGGCAGTCCAAGCGGGCATGGAGCCACATGCAAATGCACGTGTCATGGAAACGATGTCCACAGGACAGCTCCACTCCACAGACGCGTCCTCGTTCAGTCGATTCCTCCGGTAACCGATCAATCTTGGCCATGCAGATCGTGCAATTCGTGTCTTGTCCTCCATCGTTGATATCAACACGACGTAGCGATCGAATAACGTCCACGGCATCTGCGTCGTGGGGATACTGCATTTCAGTCATCTCTTCGGTCAAGCGCAGGATTTCGCGCAGCGCTTCGCATTCGTGCATCCATTGCGCATGTTCGCTAAGCATCTCGAAGAGTTTCGCAAAGAAGAGTTTGATGGTGTCACACTTCCGCTGCTTGTGCCCCGGGTTCATTGCGCTCCATCGCTTCACAGCCGACCATTCACGCATTTCCTCCTTCAGTTGTATGCACATGCCGCAACACTTTTTGATCCCATTCTGTTCGCCTTGTCCATTCGCTCTATAGTGTTTCTTGACGAGATGATTCATTTGCAACTCGAACTTGCGCACGTCCAAGAGTGACACGCCAAAGCCCCAATTTTGGCGAGGCATGGTTTTGTCACGCTTCATCTCGACGAAGAACCGAGCCTTCAGCTTGCTTTTGGTATGAGCCACACTCACTTCAACTTTTATATCCCGGAGACCAGCAGCACGGGGAATATCAGCGAGTTCGCGTACGCGTTTGCCGACAATGGCGCGTCGTCCGAATCCCATTGGCGTCGATGGAGCAGAGCGAGATTGGAGGTTATCGACTGACCGGTGATAGCTCTCAGCTAATGAGGCGCCGGATGAAAACATGACGGTAACGTCTCCGCTCTTCCGTACAGCCACCATCGATGGAAAACTCAAGTTCTGCACTAGGCGCAATCTGGTAAATGCCACTGGATTGCAGCTTTCCAGCTCTGCAACGATCGCTGGCTCTGCGTATCTCTTAAGGTCATTGCCATCTGGACAAATGTCGAGGGAGAGCTCGCAATGGTACTCGCACACACATGCCCCTAGCCTCGGGAAAATGCATCAACAATACCCCGCGTCGCCATTTTTAAGTTGAAGCGGTTTTGCATGTTGCACCAAGCCACTTGTTGATACCTATTTCAGGTTCTGTACACATTGTGCAACCTTGAGTTTTTAAAGTTTTCCTACTGGCTGATATTCGGCCGCCCTAGGAGGACCAGTCATTTGCGACCAATTTGCCGCCAAAGCTGCTGGCAGACTGACTTCCGCTACCGAGCTTAAACCGATTCAGTTCTATCTTTCCTGACGCAACCATGTCCTTCGCCGACCTCAGCAAGACCCAGCGCGACGAGTTCGCCGCCTCTCTGGCCGTTCTGGCGCTCTTCGACGCCGGTGTCGAGGTCACTGCCGATGCTCTGACCAAGACTTTCGAGGCCTCGGGCAACGACGTGGCTGCCTACGTGGCCCCGCTCTTCGCCGACCTGCTGGGCCGTGGCCTGGACGTCGAGAAGTTCCTTGCTGGCCCCTCAGCTGGTACGACCATCACTCTTTGATTATCACTGTTGGCAGACAATCGCAGTAAATACTGATAATCTTGTTTTTTATTGCAGGTGCCGCCCCTGCTGCTGGCGCTGCCGCTGGTGACGCCGCCCCCGCCAAGACGGAGGAGAAGGCCGTTGAAGAGGAGGAGGAAGTCGACATGGGCGGTGGCATGGACATGTTCGGCGGAGACGAGGACTACTAAGTGTCTACTGCCTCCACGCCCGTTGGGAGTCGGTCTGAGCGTTCACAAGGAGCGTGAAAGGGCTGTGTTAGGTATCTTTGATAGTGTATTGACGTCCCTGCCACTCTGTCTCCACGTGTAACGCGAATAAATCGACAAGGAACTACTCCAACAGTCTCGTCTATCGATGCAGCACACGCAGACGCGGGTCGCTGTGCAGACGCTTGTCCATCTCGGCGTATTTGTGCAATGCAGTCTCCTCATGGCTAGCCAGTCGCTGCTCCAGGATCTGAATGCGGAACATGGTCTCACTACAGAAGCGCTCAAACTCGTCATCTGTACCCTGATCGTGCTCGCGCTGGCTACGCTGGAATGCAGCTTGGCGCTTGGCTAGCAGTGTGTTCTCCTTGTCCAGACGCCCTTGGATTATATTAGCGCGCTCAAGCAGACGCTCCTTCAAGTTGCGTAGGCAAAGGTCGCGCACAGTTTGGGCGTCTTCCTTTGACAGGTTTCCTCCCGTTGAGTGAACGCTCTGCAGGAATGGACTGAGATAGTCCACCTCGCTCTTTGCCTGTAAGGATCAAAAGATGAGATCATTGCCGTGATTGCAATCCCATTCAGGAGACGTACGTTCTTGTCGAGCTCCTTGGCGTATTCTTTGTCATTGGCTTGTGCCTCGTCCTCGTTGCTGTCGAAGAAGCTCGTTTCCAACGCAATTGCCATTTCCTCTCGCTTTCGGATTTTTAGAATATCTTGAGTCTCAATATCAGAGTGGCGAACTGCACTGTAGCAATCTTTCTCCATCTGAGGCAACACAAAATAAGCAGATTTCACTAATACCACAGATCAAACGTTGTTGTTACCTGCAGAGACGCTCGGAGTTCGTTTTCAAGCACGGAAAGCTTTGGCTTTTTCGCGTTTGGATCGGCCATCACGACCTCGACCGGGACATTGGGAGCTTTGAAATACACACGTGACCCCGCTGTGATTTTACCTGTGGCATAATGGAAGTAAACTCGAATAGATCCTTCGTGAACATTATACGCTCGTTTGCGCTGATCTTCATCAGCTTCAAGCGCTGGATTTCGTGCAAATTTCTCCTTCATCTTCTTGATGGCAAGTTCACCTCCAGGGCCCCCAGGCAAAATGTAGGGATTCTTCGCGTCCACTTCGTCCTTGTCTGTAGCGAGTGTCACGGACCGGAAAATGAGGAAGTCGTCACGTCCATCGAAGTGCTCTAAAACTCGCTTTTGAATCTCCTCTTCGCGTTTCACTAGACCATCAGGCCGGGCACTCGTGTAGAATTGAAACTCGCGGCGATATCCGATCCATTCGGTGCGTGATTTCAGCGCCTCTGGGATTCTCCCTGGTGTGAAGCGCTCTTCAAATTTGCCTTCAAATGGAAAACGGATACGAGACTCGAGTCGGTCCTTCCTGTTCTTGAAGTATTCGCGAATTTCGATGGGTAAAGTGCAACCAACGTCACGGAAAAGCGTAACACGTGCGATCAAGCCCTGCTCGTGGGTATTCTCAGCGAATTCTTCCACTTTAGCGCGATGGTAGAGCGTGACATGCTGGCAATCCTTAACAAACCGTTTCTTGTATGTTGCACGGTCAATGTGAAGCTTGGTCACCCACGACGGAGGAATATCGAGGATTAAGTCGTCGTCTGCAGCATCTTCGCCATGCTGATCGTCACCTTCGGTACTCAACATCTTGAGATCGTCAGAGAGATCGACACCCCCTTTTGCACCTTGATCAGCTTCTTTCGCCGACTTCCGCTCTGCAGCAGACAGGAAAACGTACTCCCAGTCGGTTGGATTGGACAAATCGAACAGAGTAAGATGCACCGGTTGCTGCTGCATGTTGACCCAGTAGTTTTCATGGTTCCAGGCACTCTCGATGCAGGTGTAGGGCGAGTCTTTCAGCGAATAGCTTCGTCCAGTAGAAGGCTCGAGGTAAAAATGCTCCGATACTTCACGCTTACCAGCGCGAATGAGGACCCACGCGTGAGCACGCTTCCCCTCTAGAGGATCCTCGTCCTCATCATTGTCACTATTGCCCAAATCCAATACTCGACGTGACTTTTCCAGTCGTTCCTTCTCCTCCAACTCCTGCTTTTCCAAATATTTGCTCGTAAACGTCGTACGACTTACCAACTTCACGTCACTAGTAGTTCTGATATCCGCCGTTTTAGAAGAATCGATGGCCATTTCGCGTTCATGAGCTTTGTTCAATGCTTCCTCGACAGGCAGAACCGGTAACGGGGCTTTACTTTGATCCAGTAGACATAACCACTTAGGCGCAATACCATTCACGACGTATGCATCGTATCCTGCTCCTATTAAGAACGATACGAGCAGTGTGGCCAAGTCAAAGCTGTCTCCAGACCTCCACTTCAGTGTAAATGACGGTGACGGGAGACACACCGGTGGGATCGTCGGGTTTGCCAAGGGTTCGTACTCGACAATACCCGCCAAGAAGCGAGCTAATGTGTGGCAGTCATACAGATCACGATACGGTAGCAACGTCGGTCGAATCGTAGTACAGACAAACTTTGGCACCCCTTTCTCGTTGGGCGGATGTAGATACAGCGATCGTCGCGTAGGGAACATGCGTTCGAATTGTCGCTGGAAACCTGCAATGTACTCGAGACAAAGCTGCTCCTTTGGGGTGTTGCTACCATACGACGGCATCTCCGTCGCATCCACCGTGTCGTCTACAAGACGTCGCTGCTTGGTACTTACCACACCCGCCATGGTGAATTGTCTTGCTGCAATCGCTGCGTCCTCGTCAGACTGAGTCACGACGTCTTGGCGCTCGTCCAAGTTGTCGTCCGCGCCATCGCTGGCATCTTTGGCATCAGCTCCCATATCCAGCACCATAGGAGCGCTAGAGGATCGTATGCAACAATAGTTACCAGGGGTTCTTCCCAATTTGCCAGCGTCCCTTCTAAGCAAAACGGAGGCGGCTAGTCGTCATTTTGGTCCAAGATCGAGCACATGAAAGGCGAGGAGGACTTGTCGTCCCAAAATGTGGTGCGGGGCTCGCCCAAGCGGAGCCCCGTACGGTTGGCACGGTTGAAGATGCTTCAATGTGCCATTAACACCCGCAACTGCGACGTCCGAGATCTTACGGATCAAGTTCCCAGTGCACGATCCGAAAGACGAATCAACCGACTTGAAGGACCTCAAGACGAAATGCTGGAGACCATGGGACCATTGGGCGGACTAATGGGTCCTGTTTCAAGAGGTGAACCACCACGAAAGCAGAGGAAGTTGTTGCAGGCGTCGTATCGACCCGGTGAGAAGGTAGCGGCGAGTGTCGAGGACCGGGGATACTACCGACTAAGCGACCGAATCGGAGCGTACTACACGCAGTCAGCTCGAACTCTTACGCTCGAAAGGATCTCCAGCTTTACAAAACGAGAAGCTCATACACCAGTGAGTTTAACAAAGTCATCATTACGTTCATCTTCGACAAGACCTATGGCAATGTGTCCGGCACTTACATCTCCTTCCAAATCCCAATCGTCTTTTCGTTTTACGCAAGAAGAAACTTCTGTTTCACCTCGAGAAGAACGATCAGATAACACTGAAAATGAAGAGCTTAGTGTGTTTGTCGATGGATCCAGAGCATATGCCCGACACGTGGAAAACAGTCAAGGTATCTTCCGTTCTCCATCACCTACAAAACCTTCTCTTCGAAGCCCCAAGTCGCGATCAAAGTTTTCTATTCATGTTCATGAAAAGACGAGTAAGACATTGCTAGAGCCTGTACAGGCTACTCCTCGAACGTTTGAACTGGAGAAGCGACGCTACGTCAAGACTATGGAAGCTTATTGGAAGCAAGTGGACTTGTATCTCGCTGCAGCGAGAACAGTACCGATGGCGTCTGAGCGTCCTCATCGCATTCTTAGACGCTTGCAAGTCCCTCCTCCAACTGGACTGGATGCTCTAGGTTTACAGGAATTTGATGAGCGAAGTGAAGCAATGATCGCCGATATCTTCCAGGAGGTCTATGCTGAATACTACGAGACTGTAGCGCGTAGTATGCTGTCATACGATCTACTCGATGCTAACACGTGCTTGAAAATGAACATCTACCCCCCGTTCTTACAGGCTGAGCAGAAATGGTGGACCGACGAGACGTACCAGTCTGATGCTTGGCGTGTACTTCGCCAAACTGGAGTCGACAGTGATCGAGCGGAAGTGGCCCGAAGTCGAATCCAACAGAACTTGTTTGCTATTAATCCAGTGACGTTTGCTCTTCAGGAGCAGTGGATCATGGAAACTCCTCCACCGGAATGGGAGATGTCGCCAACTGGAGGAGGAGCGACTTTTTCAACCATTCTTTTCGTTGATGTCCATAGTCGTGAGTTTCGAGCCACGTTACCTAAAACAGTGGACCATTTCGTGGACGCAATCTCTAAACGTGCGGATCTTGTCAAGGATTGCTTGAAAACGTGCTGGATTACAGCAGCAGCGAAGAGAGTGAATGAGTGTGCACTTCAATTGCGTTACTATAGCGTTCGGAGTGGCTCAAATGCAGCGGATGGTACGGTGGTTCTTGGAGTAACAGGAGCGGTGAAAGCTGCTCAGAGTAAACGTGCTTCGCCATCTAAATCCAAGGCTGATCCATCGAGAACCTCTTCAGATCATAACAAACTTTTACGAGATCGAATGGAGTTTGAAGGGCTGGTTCAGAAACCTCAAGCGAATCGACAGATTAGCCCAAACGTTAACCCAGAAGACCCAGAAGCGACAATGTATCAGAATTTCTCTGGTGTTCTTGATGCAGCGGCAGTCTTGATGGCGAGAAACTTGAGAGAATCAGTTGAAACTTCAGTGAACACTTTTGTTGGCTTTATTCGGCGATTCTCCTGTCCGACTTTCAATGGTGAGTCTGCTTTGCTGCTTGCGGTGGATTGCACTATCACGAGCGATGGAACCATTCGAACGCAGGACGGCTTCTTCATTGAACCTTCTCCTAGTGCTCTACGCGAGAAAATCGCATCCTGTGTGGATATCATCGTGGAATCTTCGCACAGCTTTCCTCGAATCGACGGCCAAACGAAAATCCCTCCCAAGCTTCGCAGCTCAGCTACTCTCGGACCGAGCACAATGACACTGGACGATACTTTCGTCGTGAAGGCAAAAAACAAGTTGGCAGAGCTCATTGCTGAGCATATGCACGATCCGACAGAGATTCTTGCTCTTTTCCAGCCTTACGACTACCTCATAAGTGGGGAATATGAAGCCAAACTCGAGACATTGATTGAATCAAGTGACAAGTTACTGCACGGTCCAGAGCCTCCTACTGCCAGCGATATTCTCATAAACTATCGAAGTGAGCTTAATGAGCTAAAGAACTTGGAAATTCGTGTCAAGGACGAAATCTTTGATAAATACAGCTTCAAGCTCTTAGCAATCTCCTGCACTGATGTCAAAGTCAAGCTCGTGAACAAGATCAAATCCCACGCAAACAAAATTCTAAGTAAAGTATCATCAGACAACACCAAGCAGATGAGCTCGATGATTGCAGAATATGAGCAAATTGGAGCGAAACTCGTTACTGAGCCATTGGATTCTTTCGAGCTCAAAGCGTTGGACAAGTTCTATGTCACCAGCATTGATCTCATTGATGCACTGAACACCAAACTCTACGAAGACGTGTGTCGCTGTGTCCAGTTTCTAAAAGACTTTGACTTTCAGATGTCCCGCGAAGAGATTCAGCTTTTCTTTAATACCTTCCGATGGCCAGAAAATATCAAAGGATTTCAACGTAAAAGTATGGAGCTTCAGACCAAGCGACAACATGAATTGGAACTGATTGTGGAAGGCCGTCAGGAACAGCTCACCACACAGTTTTCATCTTTACAACGTCGTATTGAGAAGATGCGGGATTACGCGAATCTCGCCGACTCAGAAAACATTCTAAAGCGTATCGAGGCTGGTCGAAAGTCTCTAGAAGACGCTGAGACTGAGGCCGAATCCATTAAAGAGCAGGAAACGATGCTCGGCATGAGTGTTACGAATAACCAGACAGCATTGACGGACCTATACGACATGCTTGGCCCCATTGAGAAATTATGGACGACGATTTCTCAAACGATGGAGAAGGTGACATTTAGTCGCGAGGCTCCGTTAGCAACCGTGAATGCAGAAGAGATCGAACGTGACTGTGACCAACTTCGTCGCACTATCGTGAAGATTATCAAGGAATGCGAAAAGAACACCGACGTGTACGCTGTGGCTATCACGATGGCCCAAGAAGTGAAGAAAACGCTGGATGATATGCTAGATAATATCATTCCATTGATGGTATTGCTGTGTACTCCCGGAATCCGTGAGCGACATTGGGAGGAAATCGAGCGTATCACTGGAATTGAGGTCCAAGTTCACGAAGGATCGAATATAAACCAGATGATAGAACTCGGTTTGCACCGACATACGAGCGCGATCGAAGAAACGTGTGTCAGTGCTTCGAAGGAATACTCACTTGAGAAAGCCCTCGACAAGATGGAGACGGAGTGGGTGGGTGTTAACTTCTCTACGAAGGAGTATCGGTCGACAGGCACTTCCATTCTGTGCTCGACTGATGAAATCCAGCAAATTATCGATGACCAAATCGTCAAGACCCAATCCATGCGAGGCAGTCGATACAACAAGCCGTACTTCGAACGGATCAGCAAGTGGGAAAAGATGCTCATATGTATACAAGACATCATGGATAACTGGATCAAGGTACAGGCAACGTGGCTGTACTTGGAGCCAATTTTCAGCTCTGATGATATCATGCGGCAGATGCCTGTCGAAGGTGCGCTATTCCGAAAAGTTGACTCGAATTGGCGCCGAAATATGCAAGAAACCGTGGCCTCTCCTGCTGTTTTAACGGTGGCGGAGCGCAGTGACTTGCTTCCAAGTCTGCAGCAGTCGAATTCAGACTTGGATACAATCCAGAAAGGTCTGAATGATTATCTGGAAACCAAGAGGCTGTACTTCCCGCGCTTCTTCTTCTTGTCGAACGACGAATTACTTGAGATTCTCGCTGAAACGAAGGACCCGCTACGTGTACAACCACACCTAAAGAAGGCATTTGATGGGATCTCCCAGCTTGAGTTCCAGGCCAACTTGGATATCACTGCCATGCTTAGTCCCGAGATGGAAAAGGTGCCGTTCAGGTACGAGAAAATCTCTCAAAATCTTATCAATCCGAACAATTCTGGAGGAAATGTCGAAGTGTGGCTGGAAGAAGTTGAGATGACTATGAAGAAGAGTGTAGCGTTGCATTTAGACGGATCGATTATGGATTATCCGACAAAAGATCGCTTGGAGTGGGTGCAACAATGGCCAGGCCAAGTGGTGCTGGCTGTTAACCAGACAATGTGGACGCAACACAGCGAAAAAGCACTCAACAGTTGTGCCAAAGACCCTAATGCACTACATGATCACTTGGAAGTACTGAGGACTGAACTGAAGCGAACAGTTGAAATGGTTCGTGGCGAACTACCGAAGCTTATTCGCATCACACTGGGAGCTCTTGTAGTCATGGACGTGCACAACCGAGATACAATCGCAGAGCTGGTCGATCTGAAAATCACGGATAAAATGGACTTCGATTGGCTTGCCCAATTGCGATACTACTGGATCCAAGGCGGAGTCTCAGCGACAACTGGGAAGCCTCATACTCTTGAATGTCGAATGATCAACACGCTTGCACTCTACGCATTCGAATACCTCGGAAACAGTATGCGTTTAGTGATCACCCCGCTTACAGATAGATGCTACCGAACTCTAACAGGAGCTATTCACTTGAATCTTGGAGGTGCGCCTGAGGGTCCTGCTGGAACAGGCAAGACAGAAACGACCAAGGATCTTGCAAAAGCGATTGCAATTCAGTGCGTGGTAACGAATTGCTCAGATGGACTCGATTATCTTGCAATGGGGAAATTTTTCAAAGGTCTCGCGAGTTCAGGCGCATGGGCCTGTTTTGACGAGTTCAACCGTATTCAATTGGAGGTGCTTTCGGTTATTGCTCAACAGATTCTCTGTATTCAATTGGCCAAGGCTCAGCATCTTACCACCTTCATTTTTGAAGGTACAGAGCTGCGACTTAATCCTACGTGCTGTCCTTTCATTACGATGAACCCTGGATATGCAGGACGAGCAGAACTGCCGGATAACTTGAAAGTTTTGTTCCGTACGGTGGCGATGATGGTCCCAGATTATGCGATGATTGCCGAAATTATGCTGTATTCTTACGGGTATATGGACGCAAGTGCGTTGTCCAAGAAGATCACGACCACATACACGCTGTGCTCGGAGCAGTTGTCCTCACAGTCTCACTATGACTACGGAATGAGAGCTGTTATGGCTGTGCTTCGAGCTGCCGGCAACTTAAAGCGAGCTGAGGGCCATTTGCGAGAAGATACACTAGTTCTGCGATCGATTATTGATGTCAACTTGCCCAAGTTCCTGTCGCCCGATGTGCCTTTATTCAATGGTATCGTATCCGATCTCTTCCCTGGCGTAACGATTGATCCTCCTGATCGACGGGACATGCTCAATTCAATCAACCATGTCTGCAAACAAATGAACCTACAACCCGTCCCTAACTTTGTGGAAAAGGTGATTCAAATCTACGAAATGATGATCGTTCGTCACGGATTTATGGTCGTAGGAATGCCGTTCTCAGGCAAGACGTGTTCATGGAGAGTGCTGTCCGAAGTATTAGCCCATTTGCACCAAAAATTTCCGAATGATTCTCGCTATACCAACGTTATTGTCTCCGTGATTAACCCGAAATCGGTGACAATGGGACAGCTGTATGGCCAATTCGATGCCGTCTCTCACGAATGGAATGACGGTGTACTTGCCATCAACTACCGGAATCTAGCGAATAATCCTTCGCCGGATCGCAAATGGCTGATGTTTGACGGTCCAGTTGATGCGGTTTGGATTGAAAACATGAACACTGTGCTCGACGATAACCGCAAATTGTGCTTGATGAGTGGAGAGATTATCGCTATGAGTTCAGTTATGAGCATGATGTTCGAACCCATGGATTTGCTGGTCGCTTCTCCTGCCACAGTTTCTCGTTGTGGTATGATTTACATGGAACCCGAGCAATTAGGTTGGATCCCAGTGCTCAATTCGTGGCTGGACTCGATCACAGTGGTGGAAGGCAGCAAGGACACCCCTTTCGGACCATTTGAAATCAACAGCGAGCAGCGAAACCTCATCTACTTCCTGTTCTCGTGGCTTGTTGAGCCCTGCATTGCGTTTGTTCGAAAAGAGCTGGTTGAGCTCTCCCCGACTGTGGATACGAACCTGGTGCAGAGTCTTATCCACATCTTCGAGGCACAACTGTGTAAGCTTCCGAAAGACACAGCGTCGAAGAAAAAAGCCGCGATTGAAGCGCTCTTCATGTTTTCCCTTACGTGGTCTGTAGGTGAGAGTATCAGCGCAGAAGGTAGAATCAAGTTTTGCGACTTCGTACGCTCTATCATGGAGAATATTCAGTCGCTGGAGAGCAAATACATCGTTGTAAGTCGAGCACTTCAAGTTCGCAAGTGGGAGAAACCAGCCTTTGAAGACGGGAAAAATACGTACACTCTAGCACTTCCAGTGCCTGCTAAAGGTAACTTACATGACTACTACTTTAACATCGAAGAGAACAAATGGTTCAAGTGGGAAGAAATGCTCAAGCCGTACGTTATCCAGCCCAATACGCCGTTCAATCAGATCGTCGTACCTACAATCTTCACTGCTCAGTTGGAATATCTAGTGCAGCTTCTTGTGACGAACAAGAGGAAAGTATTAGTTTGTGGTCCAACAGGAACAGGAAAATCTTGTTATATGACCTCGATTTTGAGTGAGGTACTACCACAAGACCAAAATTCAGTCATCATGCTGTCATTCTCGGCAAAAACGTCAGCTAATATGACGCAGAATATCATTGACGGTAAGCTCGATAAACGCCGTAAGGGAGTGTTCGGTCCACCATTAGGCAAGAACGCTATCGTTTTCGTCGATGATCTCAACATGCCGCTGGTGGAAACGTATGGTGCTCAACCACCGATCGAATTGGTCCGACAACTTATCGATAGCGAGGGATACTACGATCTCAAGGAAATGTCCTGGCGTAAGATTGTCGACACTATTGTACTTGCGGCTATGGGACCACCAGGTGGTGGAAGGAATAACGTCACCCCTCGCTTGCTTCGCCACTTCAATCTGCTGTGTATTTCTGAATTTGATGATGCTACACTAACTCGTATCTTCACCACGATTCTGGACTGGTACTTTGGTTCGAATCCATTTATTCCGGAGGTTAAACGACTCTCAGAAGCCGTGGTTTCTGCCACTCTCGAGCTGTATCAATCCGCCATGATGTCGCTCCTTCCCACTCCTAAGAAGTCTCATTATACATTCAATCTACGAGATTTCTCTCGAATCGTCCAAGGAATTATGCTGGTAGTACCAAACGACCAGTTTAATGCCAATAGCTTAGTGAAGCTGTGGGTGCACGAATCGCTTCGAGTGATCGGTGACCGTTTGATCGACGATGAGGATCGCGAGTGGTTCAATGAAGTTCAGAAGAAAATCACCATTAAACACTTTGCAACAAATTTCGACAAAGTTTTCGCAAGTCTCAAACGCGGTCGAGAAGGCCCCGTTACAGCTGTTGACATGCGAAATCTCTTCTTTGGGGACTATATTGATCCTGATGCAAGTCCGAGACTCTACAAGGAAGTGGACGTTCGTCTGGACTCTGATTTTGACGGTATTGCACAACTCATTCAATGTCTTGATGGGTACTTGACGGAGTACAATGGAGTCAGTCGAAAGCCAATGAATCTGGTCATGTTCTTGTTCGCCATTGAGCATTTGTCCCGTATTGTTCGCGTACTCAACATGCCTGGTGGTAACGCACTTCTTGTCGGTGTGGGTGGCAGTGGACGGCAAAGTCTTACGCGGTTGTCTGCGTTTATTGTCGACTTTGAGATCAAGCAGATCGAGATCTCGAAGAATTATACGATGATCGAGTGGCGCGAAGACATGAAAGATGTCTTACGTATGGCTGGCACTGGTGCAAGACCGCTGGTGTTCTTGTTCAGTGATACCCAGATCAAATACGATGGATTCGTGGAGGATATCAATAACATGTTAAATTCAGGAGAAATCCCGAATTTGTTCCCGTACGATGAGCGTGTGGGTATATGTGAAGCTGTCCGTCCGCACGTCAAGGAAAAATTCGGCAAAGCAGTGGGGGACAATATGAATCAAACACAACTGTACGCGTTTTTCCTACAGCGCGTGCGTAGTAACTTGCACATTGTACTGGCGTGTTCCCCTATCGGCGATGCCTTTAGAGACCGACTGCGGAAGTTCCCTTCACTTATTAACTGCTGTACCATTGACTGGTTCACTGCGTGGCCGTCTGATGCTCTCGTGGCTGTGGCTGAGAAATTCTTAGCTGATGTCGAAATGGATAGCGCAAATGTCCGCAAAGCCATTGTAGACACTTGTCAATATTTCCACGTGAGCGTGATGGAGCTTTCAGATAAATTCTTGAAGAATCTGCGGCGTCAGAACTACGTGACACCAACGTCGTATCTTGAGCTTATCGTGGCGTTCAAGGGTTTCCTTGCACGTCGACGCGAAGCTGTACAAGGCGCACGTAATCGGTACGTTGTTGGTTTGGAGAAGATCAACTTTGCAGAAAACAATGTGGCGGTGATGCGGAAAGAGTTGGAAGACTTGCAGCCAGTACTTGATCAGTCGAAGAAAGACACAGATATTCTGATGGAGGAGATCAAAGCGAAGCTCCCTGGAGTCGAAGTACAACGTAGTGAAGTCCAAGCTGACGTTGCGGTGGCTGACGCTTCTAAAGCGGAGTGTGAACAGCAGAAGGCTAGTGTCGAGGCAGATTTAGCGGAAGCCATTCCAGCATTGGAAGAGGCTCTAAAGGCTCTGGATACTATCAAACCAAGTGAGATCAACGAAGTAAAAGCAATGAGTAACCCGCCTGCAGGCGTGAAGCTCGTGTGTGAAGGTGTCTGCGTCATGCTTGGCATTAAACCAGCTCGTATTCCAGACCCACAAGACCCGTCAAAGCGTATCATGGACTACTGGGGTCCTTCACAGAAAATGCTGAGTGACCCGACTTTTATCACGACGCTCAAGAAATTCGACAAGGACAATCTTGATCCTAAAACCATGAAAATTGTTGTCAGTAAGTATATCGCTGACGAGAATTTTAGTCCAGAAAAGGCAGAGAAGGCCTCGAAAGCAGCCGCAGGGCTGTGTAAATGGGTCCACGCGATGGCTTTGTATGATAACGTCTCCAAGGTTGTTGCACCTAAACGTGAGGCACTAAGAGTAGCCGAAGCACAACTCGCCGAAGTGATGCAAAAGCTTAACGAAAAATTGTCCCAGTTGAAACAAGTGGAGGACGGTTTAGCAGAATTGCAGCGGCAATTTGACTTTGCGACTAAGCAAAAGGAAAATCTTGAGTACCAGGTGGATCTTACAGGTAAAAAGCTCGTCCGAGCGTCGACGTTGATTGAAAGTCTTGGAGGTGAGAAGACCCGTTGGACAGAGTTTGCGGAACAGCTAGCGGTTCAATACAGCAGATTGACAGGAGACGTGCTGGTATCGGCCGGAGTGGTGGCGTATCTCGGGCCGTTTACGTCGTTATACCGACACGATGCCGTGCACGACTGGGTGGCACGTTGCAAGCAGCTTGATATTCCTTGCAGCGATTTCCCATCTCTCAATGGGTCACTTGGTGACGCTGTTCAAATTCGAAAGTGGAATATCGACGGACTCCCGACTGACGGCTTCTCTGTTGATAACGGTATCATCGTCTTCAATTCACGTCGATGGCCTCTAATGATTGATCCACAGGGCCAAGCCAATAAGTGGATTCGTAACATGGAGAAAGATAACCAAATGACGGTGATTAAACTCACAGATACCGACTACATGCGAACGCTCGAAAATTCGGTACAGTTTGGCACTCCAGTATTACTGGAAAATGTCGGTGAAGAACTTGATCCATCACTCGAGCCATTGCTACTAAAGCAGACGTTCAAGCAGGGTGGGGTGACATGTATCCGACTGGGTGATTCGACTGTTGAATACGCCGAAAGTTTCCGTTTCTACATTACGACCAAGTATCGTAACCCACACTATTTGCCAGAGGTGTCGGTGAAGGTGACGCTTTTAAACTTTATGATCACACCACATGGTCTGGAAGATCAACTTTTGGGTATCGTCGTTGCTCAAGAGCGACCAGATCTGGAAGAACAGAAGAACAAATTGATTGTTCAGAATGCACGAAACAAGGGACTACTCAAGGAAATTGAAGACAAGATTTTGAACATTTTGTCGTCATCACAAGGAAATATTCTCGAGGACGAAGATGCCATCAACACAATGAACCAGAGTAAACAAGTCGCAGATGAGATCAAAAAAGAGCAACAAGTTGCCGAAAAGACCGAATTGGAGATCGATACAGTTAGACAAGGCTACAAACCTGTGGCTTATTCAAGTCAAGTGTTATTCTTCTGCATCGACCAACTTGCGAACATTGAGCCAGTCTATCAGTACTCGCTCTCCTGGTTCATCAACTTGTTCATCGCCAGCATTCAGAACAGCGATCGATCACCAGATCTCACTCAGCGTCTGCTCAACCTTGACGCTCATTTCACTTACTCACTTTATCGCAATATCTGCCGCTCCTTGTTGGAGAAAGATAAGCTCATGTTCTCCTTCCTGCTGTGTATCTCCATCAAACAAGGGAAGCACGACATTGAGAGCAGTGAATGGTATTTCTTGCTCACTGGAGGTGTAGCTCTCTCGGAACCGCCTCCAAATCCAGCAAAGCTTTGGCTGAGTGACAAACAGTGGGCAGAATTCTCACGACTGAGCGCTCTACCTGCTTTCCAAGGCATCATCGAGGACTTCATCGATAACGAAGACCAATGGAAGGCTGTGTACGATAGCCCTGTCGGTCATACCCTTCTTTTCCCTGGTGTGTTGGGGAAAGTTAGTGAGTTTCGTCGACTCCTGGGTCTACGATGTATCCGTCCTGACCTTCTCGTCGTTGGAATCCAGCAGTTCTTAGTCAAAGAAATGGGTGAAAAGTTCGTCAAGCCTCCTCAATTCGATTTGGCGCTCTCTTACTCGGACAGTAGCGTGTCGTCGCCTTTGGTGTTTATCTTGTCTCCAGGATCCGATCCGATCAGCTCAGTGCTTAAGTTTGCAGACTCACTTCGACAGAAGGCAGAGACGATTTCACTTGGTCAAGGTCAAGGTCCCATTGCTGAACGGATGATCGTACGTGCTCGTGAAGCTGGTTCGTGGGTTGTGTTGCAGAATTGCCACTTAGCGCCAAGTTGGATGCCTGTGATGGAGAAGATCGCTGAAGATATCAAGCTCGACAACACACACCCAGATTTCCGACTGTGGTGCACTACGTACCCGTCCGATGTTTTCCCTGCTGCAGTGCTGCAAAATGGTGTTAAGATGACAAACGAACCTCCGCAAGGTCTTCGTGCAAACCTCATGGGCTCGTACATGTCCGACCCGATAGGTGAGAAAGGGTTCCTGGAATCGGTGGTCAAAGGCACGGAGTTCCGTGTACTGCTTTATTCGCTGTGCTTTTTTCACGCTTTGGTGCGTGAGCGCCGTCAATTTGGTCCTTTGGGCTGGAACATTCAGTATGAATTCAACGAGTCCGACCTGAGTATCAGTATTCGTCAATTGGCCATGTTTATTGATGAGAACGTTCAATTACCACTGCGCGCTTTGAATTATTGCACCGGAGAGTGTAATTACGGTGGACGTGTGACGGATGACAAGGATCGACGTACACTCATGTCTGTTCTGGGTAAATTCTACTGCTTGGACGTGTTCAAAGAGGACTATGCGTTCGATGAGCAAGGATTATACACGATACCACCTGATGGCGAGTACGAATCGTACCTAAAATTCATTGAAGGTTTGCCTTTAGTGGCTCCTCCTGGAGTATTTGGACTGCACGATAACGCTACGATCACTAAAGACCAAAATGCAACAGCCAAGCTTTGTCGCGATGTGCTACTTACTCAAAGTTCGGGTGGTGGGAGTGAAGGTAGTAGCGGATCATCCCAAGAAGAACTCGTCGAAGTTGTGGCAAATGATATTTTATCACGTTTACCGCCGAACTTTGATATGGAAGTTGCGCAAATTCGATACCCAGTGCGATGGGACGAGTCCATGAACACGGTGCTCTGCCAAGAACTGGTACGCTTCAACAACCTAATGTCAACTATCCGGTCGAGTCTTGAGAGTTTGCAAAAGGCGCTGAAGGGCCTCGTGGTCATGTCGGCTGAGCTTGAAAATGTGTCCAAGAGCTTGTTTTATGGCAAAATTCCAGCGCTGTGGGCGTCCAAGTCGTATCCTTCGCTGAAGCCACTTGGTAGCTACGTGACGGACTTGTTGGAGCGCATTGCGTTCTTCAACAAGTGGCTGTTGGAAAAGCCTCCGGTCGTGTTTTGGATCTCGGGTTTCTTTTTCACACAAGCGTTCTTGACTGGTGCCAGCCAGAACTATGCCCGGAAATATACTCTGCCAATTGATCAATTGGGGTTCGACCACGAACCGATGCCAAGGAATGACTACGCGCAACCACCAAAGGTACGATTGCAAATGATAACCCGTGGTGGCAATGGGAAACTCACGAATTTGTGTTTTTGGTCAGGACGGCGTGTATGTGCGCGGGTTGTTCCTTGAAGGTGCGAAATGGGATAAATCAACGCACGAATTGGGGGAATCAGATCCAAAGGTACTGTTTTCTCTGGCACCGGTGCTATTATTCCAACCGGTAAAGAAGACCGAAATGAGTAAACGCAGCTCGTACTCGTGTCCAGTCTACAAAACAAGGTGCGATCGGGTAGCTTGTCTTGCCTTTTTTTCAATTGAAGATATCTAAAGTGGATTTCTTTTTTCAGCGAGCGACGAGGTACACTATCAACTACGGGCCACTCGACGAACTTCATCTGCTTCATCCGCTTGCCAACAAGCAGACCGGAGGCACATTGGGTCGCACGTGGCGTGGCCATGCTGTCCCAATTGGATGACTAGATAATAGGAGAGGGCTATGAAGATCTTAGTGCACGTATACATCATTACACGGACTACTCTAAATACATTGCAAACTTGCTGACAGAATTTCTCGCCAGCGATGCAAACAGAAAGTCTCTATTCTTCTCTTTCTCCTTCACACAGAAGTATTCGGATAAAGTGCCGTTGGGCCAAGCGATCGAAGCGACAAAAAAATTAAACCAGTCGCGGTGTTTCTGGCATGGATTCGGCATATCCGGGCTAGGGAACCTTATCAGCGACCGCATCGTGTGATTGTGCGACAACATGGTCTCCGCTTTCCGCGCCACCTCGACAACGCGTAAAGCGCGAGATCTTCGCTCGTACTTGCGCTACTGGCATGGAAAGCATGAAGGTAGCCATCATCTGCTGTAAGTTCGCAAGACCTTCAAGCAGCACAGAGCGTTCGAACTTAGTGGAGTAGCTTGATAGAGATGGGCAGGAGATATCCCGTCAGAAACGGGGCGACTTGCGCTTCAAATGGAAATTTTGACTTGAGTTTTGTATGGTCGGGTCACAATTTGCCAGGTGTAGGCGCTGGGTGCATTGCATTGCCATCGTCTAACACATTTGCGCTTTGTGGCGGAGGCGACAAGACACGGCGATCAGCTCTGCTCGGTGGCAAATTATCAACGCCCAACCCTCACTTCCCCCCTTGCTCGCCTCCGTGAAAAAGTAGTTGCCGTCATCATGGAGTGGGAAGCGCAATGCCTCGAGTGCGACGAAGTGCTGGACGACGACGATTTCATGAGTACGCAGGAATCCGAGACGAGCGAGATGCTCGGACTCCTCGTGTCCGACGCGCCCTGGACAGTCGAGCTATCGTTCGAGGAGCAAACTGTGCGCCTCCCCCCTCTCATTTAGACACTTTATGCCCATTCGATATTTACAATTTTCTTATGGCAATAATTGGCAATTTTGTAGATGGTGGCACTGGAAGACCGTGACGTGGACGCTGTGTACCGCGCCATGCTGCGCCAGGAACTCCTACGACCGGACTTCTCTAAGCAGTACGAGTACCTCAAATACCGTCGCGTGCTTGTCGACTGGATGGCCGAAGTAGGGGAGACGCATCTGCGTATGCGCAAAGAATACGTACACGCCGCTGTGGGATATCTCGAGAAAGTGTTAGCACGCGACGCGCCATTGCCACGCAAAGACCGATTTCAGTTGCTGGCACTCAGCTGCCTACGCGTGGCGCTCAAGTTTCTAGGCACGGATGAGGAACTGCCTCCCATGGCCGAGTTCTGGGAGATGGGGAACCGAATGTACTCGCATGAGGAGATCAGCGATGCCGAGGCAGATATTTTCCAAAAGTGCGTGAGGAAATTTGTTCGTCATGCAACGGCTGGGAGTTTTGCCAAGGCACACGAGTATTTTTATTTTGCCTGTTACGGTGCTAAATTTTGCTTTGCTCGTGTACAGATTGGGCTGGAATCTCACCATGGTGACCCCGCTGCACTTCTTGCAACATTATATGGGTCAGACCGTCTTGTTTGCCGATGACCAACTGCTGGGATCGGAGCTGGTGGATGAAGCACACGGATACTACTGCAAATACGCCGAGTTTTTCGTGGATCTGGTATTGCAGGAGTACTCGCTGCAGGTATATCGACCGTCCGTTCTAGCTGCGAGTGTACTGGTGGCATCTCGGAAGGCGCTTGGGGTGACCCCACTATGGAGAGACGAGCTGTCGGTGCTCACGGGTTACGACGAGAAACAGGTCGCACCGTGCTTTCAAGCTCTCTGGGAACACTTCGAAGCGACCTTCGGTCCTCGAAACAAAAATATCTACGAACGGGACGACTCTCCTTCCGGCGTGACCGAGTTCTGAGGTCTACGTGGTTGTCGCTCCATTTTCTCGAGATCGAAAGAGGAGCAAATACTATAGTTGTTAGGACGTAGTCAAGTATTTATGTCGCTGGCTGGCTACTCCCAGCTATGTGATTGGGTTAGCTTCGATCCAAACCCGATAACCATGGCCAGGAGTGGCTAGCGTAGGCGCTAGCGTACGTGTGAGTTCTCTCCATGCGTCATTCAGTACTTTTACAAGCATTGATTCAATAAAGATCCAAGGATGCCATCAAACAATACTTATGTGAGACTATGTCTATTGAGTTGAGTTGAATTGATGCAGCCAACAACTTGACTGCCAAGCTAACGCGGGAACACTTTCAATGCTCTATCGATGCGTACTTTATAAGGAGAGACAAATGCCAGTGCTACGTAATCTCCAGTTGAGGTATCCAACACTCAAGACCACGGTAACGAGCGGTCCGAGTCGCCGATCTCACCACCTTTGACGCGATCCTTGACCTGCACGTCGTAGTAGCCGACACCTGGACTCTCACTCTTGGTAATGAACGAGTCACGCGAGATCCGCGCACGCGACATCACAGCTCCACGAGATGACAGAGAAGTCGACCCAGCCTCTGAAGTTCCCGTTGTGCTTGTTGCATACTTCTGCGGTATGTAGTTGTACCGTTTATTCAAGTGGTTGCCACCGCGGCGTGCAGATGTGTTCGATGAGTTCGATGTATAGGACGATACTGACACGTTGTCGGCATTGGCGAGAGCCGCGGCACGAGCATTGCGCGCTCGCATACTCCCAGAGCGAGCTACTGGCATGGATTGAGCTGAATACCCCGAGACTGATGACACGTTCGATGAAGCATACGCGCCTGTGCCACGTCGAGGAAGGCCAGCTTTCTGATCCATGGCCTCTAGAACCTCAGGCGTCAGTCGAACCTTGGAACCACCATTATTCGATGGAGGTGCTCCACTACGACGTGAACGAGGGGTGCCATTTTGCTTGGGCTGTTGCCTTTGTTGCTGTTGATGAGATGTTGCCATGCCACCAGATTCGCCACGTAGAGCTAGTAGTTTCTCGGAGCACGTCTCGAGCAGACGCGCGATTTGCTTGGCTTCTTCGTGCTTGCGTAGTAAAGCCACCTTAAGCTGTTCGATTTGCTCGACCAGATCAGCTTCGGTGTTGTGATCCGCATCATGCTCCTCTGGTCCGCTGCGCTGGTTTGAATCGCTTGCATCGCGGTGCCCTGCTGCTTGTATACGTGTTTTACCACCTTCCCCCTTCTGCTGGTTGTCAGCACCCTTGTGTTCAGTAGAATCACCTTTCTTCCTTCCACGACTGCCACGACTGTTACGACTGCGACCACTTCCATTGCTACCGTTGCTCCGCACACTACGGCGATCAAAAGACCCTCTGCGACGTCTTCCCTGTTGCTGAGGATGAGGAGGGGGTATTACAGCCGAGGCCGACAACCGTTCTTGCTGCTGCTGTGCGGGATTAGGCGACGATGGAGGCACCATTAGTTCAGGTCCACGAAAATGAATCTCCAATGGGAGACCAGCGTTCTTGATCAAATCGTGCACCTGACGAAGACCCATGTCCTCTAGTGGCGTCCCCGCAATGCTCACGATGGTGACACCAGGTGTCAGCCGAGGGAAATGGGTCGCTGCACTCTTGGGATAAATGGTTCCCACCTCCGTACTGCTGTCATGTCCACGTTTCATCGTAAACCCCAATGGAAGCTTGTGAAACAACACACAGAACTCACTGGTCTCTCCATCACTGTCCACACCACTGACACTACTGACAGCAACGGATGGCGTAGCATCAACGTGAGTAGCACCGTGGGCCGGGACGGTCACACCCAGCTCCAATTCATCTCCCCTTGCACAGCACTCGTTAATTGGCGTTCCAGCCACCAAAAACTCCTGCTTTTTACGGTGAAACACCACGTTACACTCGGGAACTTCGCTGTTCGGAAAATTGGCGTGATAGGCTTCAGCTGCCGCACCTAGGAGTGCCTCGCACGGCCATTGTGGATTCACGACGCAGCGTAGTGCGGCACCCACGAGGTTCGCAGTGACAAAAAACTCGTCGCCATTGCTCCGCGCCTGTGAAGGATTTCCAGCTGCAATCGACGCGGGTGCAGGTGGTGGAGCCTCACCCGGTGAGGCCATAGCAACAGTAGGGAGCAGTGGCAGCTCGAGACGGCAATAGAGCGGCGTGCACACACGGCCGGTGGGAAAGTCTTGGAGCTGCTGGACCTATTCTTGAAATGACCACCCATGGCAAATTATCGAGAATATTAGCCAATAAGAAAACGGACATCTGTCAACGGAAGAAAAAATGTAGCCATCTGGGAATATCTTGAAGATGTTTGATTTGCGAATTTTTACAATAGCTTCCGGAAGGACAATACGTCGAAGCAGGTATCGCAAACTCGGTCGGGTTTAAGTACTTGGAACTTTGGGATGGTGATCTTGTTGCTGGAGCAGTTGTAGCACACGGTGCGACCGCAGTGGCGGCAATGGTGTTTGCGCATGGCTAGTCGGAAGGTTGTATGGCACGATGAACACTCGGTGGTCTGCTCGTCACCCACCCACTCGGGTGGGTGCGACAGGTTGCGTAGCACTGGCACTAGCATCGATCCCTGGTTCGTGTTCTCCACCAAGTCCACCACGCTGCGTCCTGCTGCGTCCAACAGGTGCACGAAGGCACCGGCACTTACCAGTGCGACTGCAACGTCTTCGCTTCCTCGACCTACAGCCAGATGCAATGCAGTACTACCGTCTAAGCTCTGCGCGTGGATATTTGCACCGTGCTCAATCTGGATAGCAAACAAACATAATATAGTAATCACAAATTAGAGTTACATATCAATATGGTGCTAGCGAAACTTTGGCCACTTACAAATGCGTTGATTAGTGACGCCGGTCCGTTTTGGTGCGAACAAAGCAAATGAAGCGCAGTGTATCCAAACCAGTTCGCCCGGTTCGGATCTGCGCCATTCTCCAGCAATAATTGCAGCATTTTCTGACACCGCTCGGATGGGGACATGGCAGCGAGGTGAAGAGCAGTGTTGCCCTTCAAGTCTTCCCTGTTAATATCAAATCCGTTTGGTTCTTCTCGTTTTTCTCCGTTCTCTTCTGCGCTGTCAATTTCGCCACCACCGGTTTGCTTCATTTGCTGTGAATCTTCAGAGTGAGTATTTTCTGTCGTTCCATTGCTCTCGCTAGTTATTACCAGTTTTTTTGCATTTGCCATAGCAGCTTCGTTCTCGTGGAGCAGAACAAGAGTGACCGCTGTGTGGCCGTTTGCAGCAGCATGATGAAACGCGTTTTGCCCTTGATCATCCACAATGTCTTGCTCTGCACCATGACGGATCAGATATGCAACCACAGCGACGTCTCCTCGTGCTGCAGCAATGTGCAATGGTGTCCGTCCTCGCCTGTTTGGAATGTTGGCATTCGTTCTGAATGCACTATTCAGCAGCACTTCAACAGTCTCGATGTTTGAAGCGTAGTGTAGAGCCGTATTCCCTTCCTCGTCAGGCAAATTAGAAGCGGCATTGTGTTGTAGCAATAGTTCCGCCACCGCACTGTGGCCCTTTCGACAGGCAATATGTAGCGGGGTCTGTTGGTGCCCAAATTCTGCAGTAATCTCCTTGTCACCGTCCTTCAGCTGAGAGATCAGATTTACATCAGCAGCGTTCTGTTCAATTAGGATATCGCAGTGCTGCACATTTCCACTCGCGCTGGCCAAAAATATTAACGGAACTTTGTCGGTGAGCAGGAAGAACGGCGCGCTTTCGTCGACAAGCAGGCGGCGAATAATCGCGTTGTTCCCAGTCTTCAGTGCTGCAACAAGCGGCAAATCAATCTCATCGCCTCCGACTTGATCCAAAGGTTCTCCCAGTAGCAGAAGCTCGTTTACCACACGACCAAGCTGATATCGGATTGCCACAACCAGCGGCGTATCTGATCGCATTCTCAAGATTTCGCACAATCTCTCTGTAGAACATTGCCGTCCAGTGTCACTCTGCAATAATTCCTCGAACGCAGCTTCATCCATGTGCTGAAGCTGCTTCAAGCACATGCTCTGCAGTTGACACACAGCCTCGGCGCATCGTGACAGCACTGAGCTGCCAGCATCACTCCCGTCACCAGTAGACCGACGTCCATTTTGCGACGGTGGCGGGGTTATCGTATGCGAATCCGACGGTTCTCTTCGTCTAGCAGTCAACGGGTATGTCGCCAACACTGTGTCCATAAACACCAACACATCCAGCGTCTTCTTTTGCAACCGTCGCTTCCGCTCCTCGGCATCTTCACACTCCTCCTCTACCTTTTCCTCCTCCACTTTATCACTTTCCAGTTCTAAGAAGCTTGTAATTCTCTTGACACAAATATCGACCAACGATGGAACCAGATATACGAACGCTGCTCGCAGCAGCTGTTGCCAGAATTCCTCTCGGCCTCGCTTGCCTCCATCTTCCCCCTCTGCACCAAGATCGTTCGTGTACAAGAACCTCAGCAGCGAATAAAATACGCGGTAGGGCGTATCCTGCACGTGAATCTTCAGTGGGAATCGCACCTGACCCGGCACTTGGCTGCTTTTCGCTTTTAGCAATGCCGTCTGGAATGCACCGCTACGTAGCGACAGCACAAGCCGATGTGCTGGGATAAGGTGGTCTCCTGCTGTCGAGCTTTTGTCGTTCTCGCCCCCGTCAGACGCAGGAGAACCGCCAGAGTCCGACGTGAAGATGAACAGAACGTCGCTAAGGTGGTTGTTCGCGAACAGCTTCCTCACCTGCAGCAGGTCCGACACCAGACTGTCCACCTCAGCCATCGTTATGCTAATCTAATTTGCTTCAAGTGAAGAATTGGCAAAATGGGTATATCGGAGACAAAACCCAATTCAGCTGAATGCTCATTTTAAAATAGCCAAAAGACGTTTTTACAAGTTAAATAAGAAGAAACAGTAAAGTACGATCTGGCCGTTGGATGGCATTCAGACGGAAAAAAAACATTAAAAATTTAATGGGTTTTTTCGTCTGAATGCCATCCTGGCCAATCAGCATGCGTACCGAGGAGAATTAAGCACTAAGCTAATATTGGCCAATCAGCATCCGTGCTGACCATGTTTTTAACAAAAATAATTAAGTTTAAGCATATTTACTCAAGTATTTGTGTGTGTGCGCACATCATCCAGTTCCAGAAGGTACCATCATTTTTCAATTCACAGCCGCCACGCGAAGCCACCAACCCGATCGGAGTGAAGATCTCGGCAGATATGGCGGAGCCTAACATGCCGATGCTGCGCCAGTCTCTAGAGGGAACGCTGTCTCCCTTCGCAGAGACTCGTAAGGGCGCCGAGGCGTACCTGAACACGCTCTCATCGCAGCCCAACTACGTGCTTTTGCTTCTACAAGTTCTCGAGAGTTCAAACGAGAAGCAGGAGGTGCGTCTAGCAGCCGCGCTGCTATTCAAGAACTTCATCAAGCACAACTGGGACCCGGAAAAGCAGGGATGTGTGCCTCAGAACGAGAAGAACCTGGTCAAACAGCACCTGGTGGAGCTCATGTGCCGCATGCCCGAGACTTTACAGAAGCAGCTCATTGAGGCGCTCACGACCATCGGAGAGTACGATTTCCCTGCCCAGTGGATGGACCTACTGGCTCAACTGGTACACAAATTACAGACCGAGCAGGACTGGCAGGTACGCAACGGCGTGCTCATGACAGCCAACACCATTTTCAAGCGGTTCCGTAACGTCTTCAAGTCCGACGACCTGTTTCGCGAGCTCAAGCACTGTCTAGAGGTCTTCCAGGAGCCATTGCTCGTATTCTTTAAGGAGACGGGCGTGGCGCTGCGTGCTCCTGGCGTTGTTGCTGCGCAACAGGCGCAGATGATGACAGCATTGCGATACATGAGCCGCATCTTCTACTCGCTCAACTGGCAGGATCTGCCGGAGTATTTCGAGGACCACATCGCCGAGTGGATGGGCGAGTTCTTGAGCTATTTGAGCTACGAGAACCCGGCCCTTGTAGACGCGGACAACGAGGATGAACCCGGTCCGATTGATCGACTGCTAGTGGCTATTGTGGAGAATATTAATCTGTACGCGGAGAAGTACGACGAGGAGTTCAAGCCGTTCTTACAGAAGTTCACTGAAGTGATCTGGAACCTTCTAGCTAACCGTATTACGCTCTTCCCCAAGCACGACGAGCTGGCAGCCAAGTGTATGAAGTTCCTGACGTCGGTGGCCTCGCGATCGTTCCACCGCACACTATTTGAGTCTCCACAGGTTTTGACAGAGCTGTGCGGGATTGTCGTCACCAACCTGCAGCTGCGCACGTCGGATGAGGAACTGTTCGAGGACAACCCGATGGACTACATTCGCCGCGACATCGAAGGATCAGATGGTGATAGTCGTCGCAGCGCTGCTCGTGACTTGGTGCGCGGCTTGCTTGGCAACTTTGACGAGGCTGTGACGCAGATCTGCATGAACACGATTCAGACGCATTTGCAGCAGTACAAGGCAGATCCTGCTCGGAATTGGGCGATGAAGGACGTGTCGATCAACCTGGTTATCGCTATTTCCGCGATCAAGCAGTCACGTTTGCGTGGTGTGTCCGAAGTGAACAGCCGAGTCCCGCTGATGGATTTCTTTATGGCCGAAGTGCTCCCAGAACTGTCGACACCTAACCAGGCGTCGCTTATTCTGAAGGCCGACGCAATCAAGTTTGTCTCGACGTTCCGTAGCCAGATGCCGGTGGAAGTGATGGATCAGCTCTTCCCTCTTCTGATGAACTGCATGGATCCTTCGCAGTTTGTGGTGCACACATACGCTGCTGCCTGTTTGGAGCGTCTGCTTACCGTGAAGGACCCGTCAGGCTCGCTTCGCTTCTCGAAACAGCGTCTAGCACCGTATCTGGGCAAGCTACTGGAACACGTCTTCAACATCCTGGAACAACCCAACTACCCGGAGAATGATTACCTCATGAAGGTGGTGATGCGAGTGATGAACGTGGCCAAGGAGGACATTTTGCCGCTGACGGACATGGCTGTTAACAAGCTCACCAGTATCCTGAACCGCATCTGTGCCAACCCGAGCAACCCGTCCTTCAGCCACTATCTGTTCGAGTCGCTTTCAGTGTTGATCCTTAATGTGTGCAAGACGAACCCTGCCGCGACGGAGCGCTTCGAAGAGCTGTTGTTCCCGCCGTTCCAGAAGGTACTAACCAACGACGTTGAGGCATTGTCGCCGTACGTGTATCAAGTGCTGGCTCAGATGCTGGAGCTTCGACCGAGCGGCGTCTCAGATGCGTACAAGAGCATGTTCCCCGTGCTGTTGAACCCTACATTGTGGGAACGAGTCAGCAACGTGCCGGCTATTGTGAAGCTCATCGAGGCGTACATGCGGAAGGCCCCGAACGATGTTGCTCAGTCGGTGCAAGGCATTCTCGGTGTTTTCCAGAAGCTGATTTCGTCCAGATCGACAGAAGCCAACGCCTTCTCACTACTGCGTGGGCTCTTTGCGTTCATGCCACGTGAAGCTTACGCGAACTTCCTGAACGAAATTGTGAAGATTCTTATGATTCGACTACAGACGCGCATGGCCGGACGTAACTCTGTGGGCTACACCAAGGAGTTGATCTATACGGTGTCCGTGCTTATCGGAAAGCTCGGCCCGGACACGTTCCTGGCGTCTCTGGAGACGTTGCAGAAGGGAATGTCGACCATGTTCATCAAGTCTGTGTGGCTGCCGTGCAATGCTCGTGGTCGTAGTCCCGCAGAACGAAAGGCTTGCGTTATTGGCTTGACGCGACTGATGTGTGAAACGGAGTTCTGCAGCGCCGACTTGGATATGTGGACGGAGATGCTGGCCGCAGCAGTGAAGGTGCTTGAGGAAGCTGGAGACACTAGTGCAGCTGTCAAGGACGAGGATGAATCGTTGCTGGAGCTGGAACAGACGGGTTACGAAGCTGGTTACGCAAAGCTGTTCTTCGCGTCGGTGATTCCGCTTGACCACTTGCAAGAATACCCTGTGCCATCACGCTACCTTGCCGAGTCGATCGCGAAGCTGTCAGCCTCTAAACCTGGCGTGGTAAGTTCTTCGTGTAGTGTTACGAAGCTGATGTGAGTGCATTATCTAACTATCATTGTTATGTTTTTATCCAGCACTTGGCGTACGCCCAGACAAAACTACCGACGCCCGCAACGTTGACGTCGCTGCAGTCGTATTTTGCGCAGAACAACGTGCCATTCCAGTAGATTGGGTAGCATGGATCGAAGGACAAATTTCACTGTCCGTCATACACTTCAGAAATCGCAAAGATGTGGGGAAATGCTGCGCAGCATGCAGCAGCATTCCATCACGAAAGTTCTATTTGTTATGTTTTCACTAGGAAGAAGAGCGGTTTTTTGGAAGTGCATGCTCTTCTCCAACATACTTAAGTACACACTACTTCGAAGTGTTTATCTTCGGTGTGTTGAGAGCGTTTGGAAAGAAACTTGTGTGCATTTCTTGCTCTATGTAGAGTCTACAGAGGAAGGGGTCCATCATACCCCCACCATACTCAGTATGAGGAAGCCACGTACAGGTGGCATCTCCTCGGCCCTTCCGACCTTAGCCCAGGTTAGGAAGATTCACACGTTTACTGCGGAGCGTTGTACATGTCAATGCTCTCATCGGACTGCGGGGTGGAGATCGTGCGGTTGAACGGGGTGAAGCCCATGTTCTTGGCCTGCATGCGCGCGTCGCAACGCTCAGCGTGCAATCGCTCGAAGTACGCCTGGTTCACATCGCCCGTGACATATTTGCCGTTGAAGCACGACGAGTCAAAGTTCTCCAGCGCTGAGTTCTCCTGCCGCACTGAGTCCTCAAGATCCTTCAAATCCTGGTAGATCATCCACTCGCAGCCAATCTCCTTTGCCACCTGAGCCTCCGTCTTGTTGAAGGCAATGAGCTCCTCCGTCGTGGGCATGTCAATACCGTACACGTTAGGGTGACGGATAGCAGGAGCAGCCGAAGCGAAGTACACGGCCTTGGCGCCGTTCTCACGCGCGATCTGCACAATCTGGCGGGACGTGGTGCCACGCACGATGGAGTCGTCCACTAACAGCACAACCTTGCCCTCAAACTCGGAGCGGATAGCATTCAATTTCATGCGCACCGTCTTCTTCCGTGCGATCTGGCCAGGCATAATGAACGTACGTGCAATGTAGCGGTTCTTGACGAAACCTTCACGGTACGGAATGTTGAGACTCTGCGATGCCTCGAGAGCCGACGTGCGGCTTGTGTCGGGGATAGGAATGACCACGTCAATGCCGTGATCAGGACGTTCGCGCAGAATCTTCTGGGCGAGCTTGGAGCCCATGTTACGACGTGCCTGGTACACCGACACACCGTCGATGAACGAGTCCGGACGGGCGAAGTACACGTGCTCGAAGATGCAGGGCGACAGCTTGGCGTCCGGCACGCACTTGCGCGTGGTCATTTCTCCGCTCTGCTTGATAACCATAGCCTCACCGGGGGCAAAATCACGCTCCGTTTTGAACTCAAGCGTATCGATGGCGACGCTCTCAGAGGCCACGACGTAGTCGGTACCGTGCTGAGTCTTGCGAGTACCGTACACGAGCGGGCGAATACCGTGCGGGTCACGGAAGGCAACGATGCCAAAGCCGTTAATAAGCACGACAGCCGAGTAGCCACCACGGCAGCGCTTGAAGACTCCCGTGACAGCGTCCAGCACCATCTCCGTGTCAAGGGGCTGGTCCACACGCTTGAGCAGCTCATCGGCCAAGATGTTGAGCAGCAACTCCGAGTCCGAGTCGGTGTTAACGTGGCGGAAATTAGTGTTGGCCAGCTGATCCACAAGCTCGTGCGAGTTGGTGAGGTTGCCATTATGGGCGAGCGCCACGCCGTACGGAGAGTTGGTGTAGAACGGCTGCGCCTCCGAGCTGGAGCTCGAACCGGCAGTGGGGTAGCGGCAGTGGCCGATGCCCATGTTGCCGCGCAGGTTGAGCATGTGGTTCTGCTTGAACACGTCACGCACAAGGCCGTTGTCCTTGCGCAGGAACAGACGCTTCTTCTCGCACGTCATGATGCCGGCAGCGTCTTGTCCGCGGTGCTGTAGCACAGTGAGACCATCGTAGAGCCCCTGGTTGCAGTGCTCGTACTTGTTGGCAAGCATCAACGCGATGATGCCACACATGGTTCAAGAAGAGGAGAGGAAGAGGCAAAGGAAGAGAGGACTTGCGAGGAGATTCAGCCAATGCATCTGACAACTCGCGGCGACCGAATGGCTGTCAGAAAAACCTCTTGCGCTTTGTATGCCGAGCCGTTTCGTCGGTCAACCAACAGTTGCCGTTGCGAATCGTCCAATCCGATGAACTCTACAAAGCGATTGGCCAAAATTGGTGTTGTTGAAGTGATGTGCGGCACTATCGCCATCTTTCATGAGGTTTCAAGAACAACCGAGACGACTACGGCACATCAAAGAGCAAAACTGCACAAGATTAATTAAGCTACTGCGCGGTCCCTGGCTGTGGAGTAAGAGACTTGAGCAAAGACTTTGATCTAGTTGCTGTAGTTGATCTCTTCTTCAAGGCCACAACTGGTGCACTAATCGGTCGATCGGGTGACAAGATGGCTCTTGTCGCTGTGATATTCATCAGGCTACAACGAATCGCTGTTAGATCTTTGAGCACGATTGTAAAACACATTTTGAGACTTGTTTACCTGAGCGGAGACGCTTGAGGGATTTTTGTATCTCTTCTCAAAACGGGGGCCGACCTTGGAATCGCAGCTTTCTCACTTGAATGAGAATCACCTGCTGACTGAAATTGTTGATATGGCTGGGGATCAGGCATTGCGAAAAGGGGTTGAGGTGAAAATAACACTTCCTCGGAAGATTCCTCTTGGATGGATTCCTGAACGACGGTCTGGGCGCTAAACGGAATATTGGAGCGGTAGATCCGAGCTGATGATGGTCCTGGGTTCACTTTTCGAAGCTGGCCATTGCCCACATCTTGCTCATCTGCTTCTGTGTCTTTGTCATTATACAGATTGATAACTTCTTTGCGGCACGATAAACAGCGCACGAGGCAGTCTTCATTCTCAGCGTCCAAACCTAGCAAGCGAGCTTCCAATCTGCACCAAAACAAAGCTCATACGGTCAGTTCAGATCGTCAAGCTGGCAAGCTCAGATACCTACTCTTTCAACAACTTCAAGTCCGCTTTCCTCTTCAGACTTCGTCGTAGATTCTCAATGGCTGCAGTATGATCGGGCAATTGTTTGAACTTTTCCATAAAGAGCTCGGTTTGAACATTTATCTGGGCCGGAACGTCTTGTGCTAATGTCTCGACCAGCGTTCGCTGACTTGCAAGTGCTTCCTCAAGTAACGAGTGCCTGGCTTCAGCCTCGCTCTGAGCAGTTGTAAGCTGCATTTGCACCGCACTACGGAGTGAGACTACCTCATTCTCCAGGTCACGCACATTATCCATGGCAGGAGCAGACAGGGACGCAAATCTCGAGTCTATAGTCAGCAAGCTTTGTTCAATATCCGCAACACGTCGTCGAAGAGTTTCGTGCGTAGAGCGGTCGTTCTTTTCTCGCAATTCATTCATAATTTGCTTGAGTGCTGCGAAAATCTCGCGAGACTTTTCCTCCAGCAACTCAATCCTTGACGATACAGTGAAGACGTTCTTCTTGCGTTTGAGCAATATGTTTGTTACGTCCTTCTTCTGCTTTTCCTTGATATGGCCCTTGAGTTGGAACCACTTCTTATGAGCACGCTCTTTGAGCTCAGTTTCTTCTTCGGGTGATAGCATTTGAGCACGTTTAAGCTTCCTGAGAGCTGTCATGGCATTTGAGATCTCCTCAACTACAGCTTCTGCGTCTTGCTCTTCTCCACTGGACGAGTCTGATCCTTCAGAAACGGAATCACTGCCGCTTTCTTGACTCTCCTCTTCGATATTCTCCTGTTCTGTAGTGCTTGTCATAGGGGCTGCTGCTTGAGGTTGAGGTATTAATTTAGGCTCTGCTTGTTCAACTGGCTGGAATTTTACTTGCGGTACTGCCTTTTCAACAGGTGATGATTCGAGTGCTATCCGCTGATCAGGCTTGGGTGTTTCCTGCTCTACAGGCTTTGCCTGTAGAGATATCGATGAGCGTCGCGAGTGCGAACTGCGTTTATTTATCGATAAGCGCCGTGCGGGTTCATTATCAGCGTTTCCCTCATGCTTCTTTGTAGAACTCGATCTTTGGGCCATTTTTGACGATCGTCGACGTGAAGGTGATCGATGCGGCAAAAGCGGATCTACTACTGCCTCTGGAGTACCGGTGTCATGTTGTGGTAGTATTTTATCTTCACGTTGTCGAATTGGCGCACCAGAAACTTCAAATCCTTTGAACTCTGCAGTAACGTGTTCGTTAGCGGTGGATGGAGCTGCTGTGACTGGAGTTGTGCTTACAGCTGCAATAGGCTCAGTGTTTTTCACGTCAACCGCAACAGACTTAGGCCCCGGGTTTTTCTTTTCAACTACTATCGGTATAGATTCCGTGATAGTGGGTGGTATGTCGGCGATTTCCAACGTTGAATTCGAGTCGCAGTCCACCTTGGCAATAATCGGTGATGGGATTTCTGTGGGTTGCGTTGGGGTTACTTGTGGTGCCATCACTTGGTGCTCAGGTACGCCACTTTCAGGTTCCAACCTACTGTTGGGCAGAGTTGGTGTTGCTCTAACAGTGTGGGCCGTGGTTTTCAAAAGAAAAGGCTCGATAGATTGTTCAACTTCAACTGTTGGCAGGACACTTGAGACGGATGGACTGAGGATCGGCATCTTGTCACGAGCATTTTGAACAAGTGTGACGTTAGGCGTCGACTGTTTTTGAGGCCTGGGTTCCGGGGCAACTGCAATTGGAGAGCTTGGGGAGGGTGGTTCTGGTACGATAGTAGGAGCAACCGTTGTTGCAACATTCTGCACAATTAGTATCTCTTTCTCCGCCAACTCGATTGCTCCGGGGTTATTCTCGCTTGACAGAGCATTGGATTGACCGTTGGATGGGTTCAACTCGGAAGCTTGCGCGTTATCCCGTTCTCTCAAACTCAGCTCCGAGGTCGTAGCAACTTCAACGGGAACTTCGGCGACTTCATTTGCTTCGCCCCTGCTCGAAGCCTTGATGTCTACCATAGTCAAAGCTTCATCAATAGCTGTAGGAGGTACTAACTCACTTCGAGAAATCTCAGAATTTGCCGGTGGGGATTCAATTTCAGCAGGAGCCGATACAACCACTGCTGGAATTGGTACCGGTGGAGTACTTGGTATAACCTCGTATTGTTCATGCTTCACGGGTGTCGAGATTTCAACTACTGGGGGTAATGGAGTAGGTGGTAACTCCGTCGATCCATTTGCCTTTACTTTCTTGGTATTATGCTTCTTGTCCTTATTTTTCTTTTTTGCACTTGGCTTCTCAACTTTCTCGGTTTCAACTGGTGTAGGTGTGCCTGTTTCTGAAGTCGTTGCTAGTCGATCAAGAATGGCAGCAGCCATGCCAGTCACACGAACCGCTTTCTTCTCTGTACCAAGCTTCTTGCTTACTGTAGATGCTACGGGTTTAACAGCTTCCGTTTGAGGGATAGCCCAACGATGGGGTCCTCGTGCTTCGTCGTCCACTGCAGCAGTTCCGTCGATATTGTGCGCAATATTTCGAAGCTTCAAATCGAGCTCCGTCATGCCAAAACTCACCTCCGTAAGCCAATTCTCCAGTTTGTCCACCCGACCGCACACCACCCGCAGAATCGCTTCCAGAGCCATCGCTTGCTTCCCTAAATCTTTGAACAAACCCTGGAAAACCTCTCGAGAACCATTTCCAGGGACATCTTGCTGCTCCTGTGCTCCAGACATCTTACCCATCGTGCAATAACCTACTCAAAACCTCGAGAACAAGCCACCTCGCACTAATACCATGCCTCGGGTAGTCTAGAATGCTAATTAGTCCTCTTGAACCGTCGTTGTGGTTTCGCCCTGCTAATTTCAAAAACCTGTAGACCACAAGTCCATCTCTATGACGATCTTGAGGCACTCCTTGACCTTCTTGCTTGTGACTATCATCGCAGCTGGCGATATCTTCGACAGACTGCGAGGTGTTGTGGCCATCGCGACAAGTGGTCGCTTCCAGTTCTCACAAGCAGTCTACTCTACGACCGAAGATTTCGGAGTCGCTTCTATTACTATTCAACGCAGTCTAGGATCTGACGGAAGAGCTGCTGTTTATATATCGACGATTCCGGGAGTGGGAAATGCTGTGGCAGGTCGAGACTTTAAACCGCTTTACAACGTGAGTCTTATGTGGCAAGATGGCGAGGATTTCGAGCAAGCACTCTACGTGCCTGTCTACAATGACGGCAAGCCACAAGAAAGCCCGAAGACATTCATGTTAAAAATGCACGACGCTGTCGGTGCTGAGATAAATCTTGCTCGCAATCAAACACAAGTTGTGCTGGTTCCGCCAGCAAATCGTAAGTTTGCTTTGATTACTTCGCTTTAGTGTCGCTCATCTTTATATTTTTTAGTCGTGCCTGGCAGCTTCACTTTCCAGACTGCTACGGTCACCGTTGCAGAAGGAAATACGTTGACAGTTCCCGTGCTCTGGGTGGCTGGAACGACATCCATGGCGAGTGTGAAATTCGAAGTTGTGTGCAAGAGCGCATGCTTTCCAACGGACTTTGTGCTGGTTTCTCCTGCTACCCATTTGCTGGAGTGGAAACGAGATGATTATCCTGCTTCTGCCACAATTCGATGGCAGAATATCGTCTTGCAAGTGCTCAATGACGAGTTGTATGAGCAAATTGAGAGTTTTAGTATCCGTCTGATGGTTGTAGAGCCTTCAGAGGATTCCACCATCGGCACTGGAGTAATTGCGGACATTGGAGAAATTATTGTGGCTATCGATGGTCCTAATGATGTGCGATCGGGCATGCTGCAGTTTAATGCCGAATGCTTTCCGGACTGTGCAAGTGCAAAGTATGCGGTACAATCAGGTGGCTCCGCGCTAGTGATAGTCCAACGACGCAGTGGCAGCGATGGAGATTGCTCCGTCGTGGTTGCTGCCCAAGATGATACAGCTGTGGCAGGCTTAGATTATGAGCCTTTGGAGCGAGAACTGTTTTGGAAGGAAGGAGATACCAGTGATAGACAAATAGTTGTGACTTCACTTGCTCGAGCAGATCCAAGGCTACCATCACGACGCATAGCACTCGTGCTTCGGAATAACAAGGGTGCTCCAATAAACGGAGCCCACGCCAGCACGTCGTATGTAGATATTACCAGTCCGACAAGTGTTTATCTTGGTGACGTGAACTTTGCTATTCGCGAACCTCTGGAATCGGTATTACGAGCTCCTGACCTTAGCTTCATCGAACTGGCATCACGCAACACAAGTTCTAAGCTCCAGCTATGTCCGAGTACAGTTGTTACAGAACCTGGAGTACTATCGGTGGCAATTCAGCGTAATTTTGCAACCTTTCCTGTCCCCGTACGAGTGACCGTAAAAGCCGTGGCTGGTACTGCAACGCCAGGTGTCGACTACGAGTTTTTGGATAGCGTTGTCACTTGGGGAAACGGGGAAACCGAGGCTAAACAGGTGCTCGTGAAGATACTGAATCCGCCGAATTACGATCCTTACACGCACTTATTCTGGTTGCAATTGTCTGGTGTGACAGGTGCAATAGTTGGTGATTGTAACGTTCTCGAAGTGGTGTTGAAAGGGGTTGCTCAGCGGCCTCACTTGGTTTCGTTTGACTTGGACATGGCACTCGGAACGATGACACTTCGGATGAACATTCCAGTTCAAGCTTCGACTTTGGATGTGACCAAGTTACTGCTTCAATCCGAGCGTGTGCTGAAGAATGGCGCAACTTTTAAATTCACACCACAACAGACTACCTCAAGTAGTACTGACGGATCTACGATTGTGCTAAATATTGGTGCCGGGGACTTAAATTCGCTTAAGCGTGTTATTGGATTGGCAAAAAGCGCGAATTCGGTCTTTTTGAGCACGGAAGCAGGACTTTTTCGATACGTGGTCGACAATTGCCACAGCACTGGGATTCTCGCCTGCTCCTCAGATGTAACCGTGGAGACGCCAAGAAGTGCAGCGCTGGCTGTCGCTACGTTTATAGCGGATACTCTTGCTCCAACCCTCGTAGGTTACAGCTTAGATTTACCACGACGATTGCTGAAGTTGCACTTTTCGGAGGCGGTGAATTTCATAACTCTGAAAATTGAATCGCTGACGCTTGCTGAGGGAGCGGCAGGAATAGATGTCTATAGACTTTCGTCCGCTACTACTCGCCTCTTTTCGCCACAACCAGATCCGTTAAGCGGTGCCACGTTGCGTGACGCAAACCGCCTTCCTGCTGATAACACGTTTCTTACTCTACACCTTGGTCGGTCCGACGTCACAGCTCTGAGCAGCTTTGGTACTGGCCAGTTTGGCATCACAAGAGCGAATACGTTCCTCGGAATTGAGAGTTCGTTTGTGGCGGACTTTGCTGGTAATCCCGTCATGGCTGTCGGGCCACCAGGCAAAATGCTGCAGGTTTCGACTGCAGATTGTTCTCCATGTCCGTCAGGATCGTATCTTACTAGCTCGTGCTCGGATCTAACAGACCGCAAGTGTGGTACCTGCAATGTATGTCCTAGAAACTCATTCGCTCTCGAAACATGCAGAGCTACACAAGATACACTTTGCTATCGTAAGTACTCTGACCCGCTAGCATTTATCCCGTGTACTAACCAGTGTTGTTCATACGGTCTACTAGCATGTACCGAGTGTCGTTCCGGTCAATATGTAGCGGTGGCCTGCTCTCCAATGACCGATCGTGTGTGTGCTCCATGTACTCAATGCACATTAGACGAGTATGAAGTTTCACCATGTGCAGCAGGTGTGGATCGCGTCTGCCGTACTTGCAACTCGTGCACCTTAACTGCAGCTCAGCAGACTCTGTGCCAGCGTAGTCATGTGTGGAAGCGACTACAGATGAGATCACCATTTAGTTGTCCCCAGCCTGGCCAGCAGTTCAAGACCCGCGAGGAGCAATTGCAACGTGCCAAGTCGAACCTGTGTGGCTCAGGACGTTGCTCCTGTGTCGCTACTGGTATACCTGGTAACTCGAATCCAAACGGAGAAGGCTTCCCCGACGATCCACGGTGCACTGGGCCTGTGGCGTACAATATCCTCGTCTAAGAGACAGAAATGCACTCTATTCTATTGGTAATTCTACGCGTTCTTCTAGCTCGAGGCAGCACGGATCTCGTAGAATTCGTACGACAGCTCTTGTGCATCGCTGACAGTCTCAAGAAGCTCAGCGCCGTCAGGAAGCTCGTCTACTGGTGTGATACTGTAGGAGAGATCCGTGCTCGCAGCCAGCAGCGCGTGCAGGTGAACGACACCGAAGCGACTGTGGCTGTTGGCATTCATGAGGTAGGCCACGCTGTTGGGGTTGCTCAGGACGTGGTGGCGCACAACGCGCAGAAATCCTTCAGCTGTGCTTGGCTCGCAGATAATATCGCTGGCAATCACAACTTCCGCCTTGGGAACAGCCTCAATACTTTTGGTGAGGTCCCAGTCCAGCAGCGAAACCTTGACATCAGGCTTCGATGGGTCGTACTCGTGCGTGAACGGTTTGTTAAGTTGCACATTGTACTCGAGCGCCGTGCATGTGTCGGCCTGGTAGTCCGTGAGTGTGGTGTTCTGTGCGTATCGAGCTGCTGTAATGCCTCCAAGTCCAAGGCCACTGCCCACTTCGAGCACACTCTTGCCCACGAACAGATCGCGGTGTTTGTGAATCCAACGCGCCAGCACAAAAGCTGCACCCCATAGAAGATATCCAGTCTTCCTCTGGCCAGTCATACGCGTTGGCACCTGACGAATAAGCACATTAAGAGTGCCCTGGGTGCCGTCAGCATTCTTGGGAACATTATCACGAGGGTCGAAAGGCAACGGCACTGCACGAGGCCACAGGAGCTGCACTTCTCCAACCTGACGCACACGGTGCGGGAATGTGATAGCCGATGGACTGCTCGTACACGCCGTGACGACCTCTGCTGCGGCCTATAGTCCATTAATTAAAGTAATCGAAGCAACGTCAAGTTGGGACTTTGATCTTTGCAGCAATATCAACAATACGGACCTCCTGGATCTCTTCGTTGTCGTGCTCCATTAGACGCATCAGCAATGGGTGAGCTCCGATACGAGCTACAAAACGAAAGCATCAGCAACTTAAGCGTGCAGAATAATAATTCATCTTGCTCTCAAGATCTCACCGATAAACGTAGCATTATCCTCATCGACAACCGTCTCAGCAAGCAGGAGCAAAATTTCGTGCACAATCTTGAGGTCATCTTCGCCTACATCTCCATACATTTGCTTGACAAATGCAGCTAGGTGTTCTGTCGCAATCGTCAAGAATCCAGCTTTCGATAGCAGTACCAAACCGCGTCAATACAGGTTAACAAAGCCCGCCAATGTCTTGTCCACGTACCAAGTCCCAGCACGCAGCGTCCATAGGTGCTGCCCGCCAAAACACGAACATGCTTTCGGGCAGCAGCAGACATAGTCACCTCCTGAACCAGCGGGCGAGTCGCAGCCACGTCCACAGGCAGTGGAGCCGGCGGTGTTGAGCACAGCAGCACCATTCCTTCCACTCGTCACTTGTAAGAATGGTCTGATGACTTGACGGCGCCTGGCTTGGTCACGAATGGCGGTTACGCGCCACGTCAGTGGAGCGCTCTGATTGGCTGACTCATCATTACTAATGTAAAACATGTCGCGGAACTGCAGGTTCGGTCGCAGCAACAATACGATATTGCTACAATCGGGATAAGTTCGTATGGCTCAAGTTGAAGTGGTCAAGAGGACGAAACCCTTCGCTCAGCTCTTGGCAACGTACAGCGGGAGTCCGTAGCAAACTGCAGCGTGGCCATTGAGATACTTGAGCTTGCAGACGCCTCGCGAGGACTGCAGCACCTGCGCCAGTGATCGGCTGTCGTCCTTGTTGTCTGATAGAAGCCATTCTTGTAGCACCTTCACACTCAGCTGGTCAATGTCTCGGTCCGTGACGTCCCAGAGCATCGCCAACACTGCGGGGCTGCCAGCGCGTACATACGCTAGCACAGCGCCACTTGGTCCGAAAATTCCCTCCCGTTCGAGGCGTCCACTGCTACAACCGAAGAGCAACGCGGCGCTGCAATTGGACTTCAGACTGAGGACCTTGTCGCGATGCAAATACGCCTCTCCGGAGCCGTGGCCGCAATAAATATACAGATCTGCGGCTAATAAATAGTTTCTGTGGTAGCAACAATAGTCAGAATTAAGGTCAATAGCACCAGAATCAACTAACACACCTTAGTTTGTCGGGGTCTGGAATTTCCCCCACGATCCCCTCCCAGCCATACGTTGTCGCTCCTCCTTCCAGTATCGGTCCCAGTTGATTCTGTGTCGACTTAAGATCTCCAGCAGGATTCAGCAAATAGCGCACTCTGTCTCGTCGTACCGGTGACAATAGCTTGGCGTTCTGCATGATCAGATCGAGAGACGGCATGCGAGTCACTCCGCTGCAGAGATCCATCACGTCCATGCCTTCCCATGGAAATTGCTGAAGTTGGTGATTCAAGATCAAAATGGTTGAGACGTCAGCGGTATTTCCACCATCACAGCACCCCGTACTTGTTCTTATCCTGTCAACGAGAGCAGCGTCACGGGCAGCAATAAGACGCTTCACCAGTTCCTTCTTTAATCCATCGATATTGAGTCCTTCAGCTGCAAGTAGCTGCTTCACCTCGCCGACCTTCATTCTGGCGATCTTGTCCGTGCTCAAATTGGTCAGATTTGAGTGGGTCGCTTCCGTTGAGTTAGTAACGAAGTCATTTTGATTTGTCCGTAGCACTTGAAGAACTTCTCGAGATACCGAATCAGATAACGGCACCTCGATCTCTGCTGCAATGTGCTTCAGTCCATCGATCACTTCGCTGTCTGGCAGATATTGCTGGGCATTCGAAATTGCGCACAGCAACGTTTGGTTCCTTTCAGCCAGTTTGATTGGACCTGTTTTGGTCTGGGTCAGCAATTCCCAGCATTGACGGACTATTTGACTTTCGAAAGTGGACCCTCCAACGAGCAAACAGCGCCAAAAGCCCAGTTTTTTCTACACATCAGAAAGGCAAAGATAAAACAGGTTAGAGGTCCGTTGGATCATGATGGAAACGCGTAGGACGCCCACTTGTTCGCACCTGCATGGAGATGACGACCTTCTCGATACGTCTGTCCAACAGTTTGCGATTATCCCACCATTTCCTTTTCTGTTCGTCGTTCCATGAACTCGTTTCTTCGGCTGTGTGCCCAGATAAACCCTGCCTTTAAAGCACACATGGACATATGTCAGTAATTTCACGGCAACTTCAGCTCATGTCACCAATAGTATACCTGGAATTTTGAATAATGGCATCCATCTCACGAATGCACTTTGACCAGGATACAGTAGGCAAGCAGAAGGAGATAGGAGTGGAGCCATTTGTCTGCAATATCACACCAAATTAGCATACCACGCTGCCACCATTGAACATACAAAATACGCACCGGAATGCGCGTAACCACGAGCTCAGACGATAAACCTATCGTCAGAGAAACAATGACCCAGTTGTCTGGCAGGTGTTGAACCTTCTCAGCAATGCCCTGGGCCATTCGGGTCAGATATTCTTGAGGTTCCTGCTTTTGAAATGCGTTTGAGCCAGCAGCCAACTGCTCAAGCTGCACCACTAAACCGTCCTGAGTCGAAGTATCGTTGTCCATTGCTATAGAAATCGCATCATCGCTGCCAGCATTTGCCAGCAGAGCACAGCTCGCCCACGACAGAAAGGCAGCCCGAGCACCTCCATCCATGGAGCTGGCGTCATCGCGCGTGTTCTCCTCAATCTCTGCAAAATACGCCATTCCCAAAGCTGTCCGCAATTCTTGGTTTAAATGAGGGATACCCAGATGGTCTCCAAGCAAATAGGCTCCTTCCAATAAAGAAAGCGTCCGACCTAGGCTGGTAAAAGCCCGAGGTGAGGCCGACCGCAGCAACCTTGTATTGATGCGTCCGAGTTCAAGCATGCTCTTGACTCGCTCCAAATGAACATCACAAGACTTCAGTGACCGCTTGAGCTTTTTCATCGACACGAGGAGTGATTTCACTGCTGATACGTTCGAAAAATCGCTGGTTTGGCTTTGCAGTCGTGTATACTTGCGCCAGCATCGAGCCTTTACTCTTCCCAATCTCTTGGAGATGGAAGATTGACAATCTTCAGTAACATCCACAATCTCAATGGCTTTTGCATAACATGCCAGTGCTTCTTGGTGCTTGGCCTCGCTGAGATGTACATCTCCTTGTTGAACGATTTCGTCGCACTTTTGCTCAATGATTGCCGGATCAAATTGGATCGTCGAGCGATGTTCATCAGCTATAGAGTGATTGGTTTTTGATTGCTGATTGGGCTTCGGGTTCAATGACAGTAGAGACATAGCTACTTTCGCCTTCTCCAAGTGGTTTGCGTTCAGCTCCAGCTCCGCGTATTCGTAAAAAGGTCCACGGCGGAAGAATCGCAGGTTCAAACCACCTACGAGACGCATTGCCTCCGTCAAGTAAGATGCAGCCCTTCAGCACAACGCAATACGATTAGGTTAGCCGGTACTGCACGTCAATAATTTATGCAAAGAGCTTACCTGTGTGGCTGATCAGCCAGGCTATACAGAGACGCTATCCGACACAGTGACACCTTCGCGGCTAGCAGTAGGTCCCATGAAGAGCATTCTAGCGCCATGAAATACAGAAAATGTGCTGATTTCCGTTGCAAATATTCCGCCGCCGAGATTTCTCGTGGTAACTCGAAACACGCGGCCTCAGTATGTGACGAGGGAGCAGTAAACTTCTTCGCCATCTTCCAACAAACTTGCAACGCTGACTTAGCTTCCGTGATAGCGTCTTTGCTTCGTCCTTCATAAAAGTGGATGTCCGATAGGATCGTGTGGACAAACAACTCTCGCATGCCTATTCCCTTTGCTACGGTTGCAGTTTGGCAATACTTCACGTTTTGTTTTATATCACCGAGCGTGGTCATCGCACTGAGCAAATGTTGGCACGCTTGGTCTCTGATGGCACCCAGATGAGAGGTCTTCGCAGCAAACAGATCTCTGTCAACCTGCTCAAATAGCTGCATTTCTCTGTTATCGCCTGCAGTTGCAGCACCTTCTTCCACAGTCAAGACCATTTCTCTCGAGTCCATAACCATCAGACCGATAGGAGGAGGAATCACACTCGACATTAAGCCTTGAGCATTTTCAGACATGTGCAATGTCTGGAGCAACTTCCTGGCCGCCTGTTCCAGTGGAGAGCACGAAATGAGAGACAGCGTGTTGTACACGGATTCCAAGCATTGCACAGCGTAAAGTCCATCAAACAGAAACCCACACGAGTCTTCTCCGTCCCAGTAGGCCAAACAGCGCTCAATGTCTGCAATTGCACTCTCTTCGCTGACGGAGATATTTCCAGATGCAACGTATTCATCTGAGGAGCCACCATAGCTCACCAGCAGCGCCATCTCCATCGTTACCACTCCACACCATCCATAAATCCCTCCGAGATCAACACCTACAGCATCACAAAAATTCAAAAGGTTTTCGGTAGCTTCAGCTAAGGAGTGATGTACAAGTCGAAGTCCTTCAATTGTGTCGCGAATGTTGCGTTTGGCGTAGTAGCAGCAGTAAATCAGCTTGCGATCTGCCAAAGACTGAGAGACATCCAGCAAAATGCTGATAGGGAATTCACCGTTTATCGCCTTCATTTTTTTCTTCACCAACTTAACTGTTAAGTAGTGTTCAAGTTCACAGCACATCTGCACGCGGACCACCGATGACATGTCAACATCACCTGACAAGGCGCAAGACTTGCCTCGCAAGCTTACCACAATTGTAGCAGATGCTCGGTCGAAGGCATCCCTAAATTCTCTCCACAGTGTCACAATCTGATGCTCAGATATTTGGCGAGACTTGAAAACGTGGGTGATATTGTCCAAGAAAATCTTGAACTCATTTATGATGGAAGGTTGTTCCTCCTCCTCCATAAACTTCGCTTCCTCCAGGATGCAAGACACGTACTTGTCGACAATTGCTCGTGGAATTATCTCATGGATGTCTCCACAATACAAGATAGAGTACCCTGTGAATAATCGTGATTTTGTGCAGTTTCCCAATTCACGGTAGCAATGTGCCAGCAATGAGGCGATAGCATCCGCTTTCAGCTGAGTATGCGCTTCGTGAATACCTTCTACATCGAGGTTACTGCACATTACATACTCCAAGTAGCTTTCCACAACTTCGAATGCTCCCAGTAGAGCTGAGATCGTATCCTGGTAGTTTCCCACTTTGTAGCAACGAGTTGCGCAGCTGTAACACTCTCGCGCAATAGAGTTCAGATCGCCAAGTACTCCGTTGATAATCGAGTCACTCAGTTTCCCATCCATAATCGCGTTGTCCAGAAGCTCACGAACTGAAGTCACATGTCGAGATAGCATGCGCAAGGCAGGTTTAGTGGTTGCAGAATTATCTGCAAGACAACACCGCACCGATAGTATAACGTCCATTCGATGGAGTCGTGATTGTTCTAGGATGAGCGTTTCCATCAACTTAGCGTCCGAGTTGGCCACTGAAGACCATACTTCCTTTACCGCTTTGCATATTTCATCAAAACTACAATATTCACGGTTAGACTAATTAGAAATACAATGCAATCACTAATTCTAAAGCTTCTTACCTCGTTATGACTTGGTAGTATAGCTGGTATTTTGCAGAATGCTGAACAGCGATAGCATAGTTGAACATTTTCGTCGAGCTTCTCTTTAAGGAACGAGTCATGAACGGTACAAATCCAGGGTGATCTTTCGAGTTCATTGACGCGAAGCTATATGGTGCCAACGCTTCGAGCTTTTTCAGATACACTCGCGCAGCCTTTTCACATTGATCAGTCCATTTGTCGGAGGAAATGTTGTGAACGAGATCGCGTATCATTCTACCAGTGCCGGTTTCCAGATTCTTGTCAATAGCAGAGCTGCTGAAACCATCTCGTGAGATAAAACAGCTTCCTCGATTTTCAGAACTAGCTGCACTGAAGAGAGAACCTGCAGTGGAGACTACTAGACAGGTTTCAATAGCTTTCCCCGCGCTTCCAAATAGCTGCACATACTGGACCGCATTTTCGAGAATCATTGCACTCCTTAAGTGCATCCCAGATAATTCACAAATTAAAGCGAAGTGCTCGAGCCATTGGATATACTCCCACTGAAGGGAATCGGACTGTTCAACATTTCAAAACAACACACGAAAAAACCGTTAATTACGTTGCCTTGAAATTTAAAGTATGGACCCTATCACAATTTTTACGTACGCGGTGTATGTGCGTCGAACAGGGATGTGAGTCACTCAAAGCGTTCGCTGATTGATCATAAAACCAGTATAGTTCCTTGAGTCCCTGCTGTGATCTTTTAGTTGCCCGTTCGTGCTGGACACCAACGCGGTGGACCTATTGAACATTCAGAGAAAAAGTTAGCCCTCCGCCTCGATCCGCCTCAACTATCTTATCACGCAATTCTCCCACCTGTTGCACAAAGTATGAAGAACTGTAGTTTGAGCATTTGAGCAGGAATGACAGGGCTGTGAAACGAAATCGGAGTCCACCACTTGTTGTGTCAGGCTTTGGTTTGGCACCATTCACCGCTGCAGCAATTTTCCACAGTACTCGAAAAGTCCGATCACTGAACGATGACGCCAACTCTGCATCCTGCTCTGAACTTCTTCGTAAATGCGAGATCCACGGAGACAGAGTTGTTTCTGCCACTTGCAGCACCACCTGCAATATTTTTTAAGTCAAGCTTAGTTGCATAGGTATCCAAACAATTCGGCGTCAAAGTTTTCATACCTCGTATTTTTTTACGGCAGATAGCAGCGAGACGCAGATATTCGTGTGACCCAATAATAACCGAGCGAACTGAGCTGTGTGAAAACTTTTTGGAGTTGGAAATTCCGCCGCAAGCTCAGCTTTTCCCATCATTTCACTGGCGAGAGCATCGTCATTTTCATCTTGCCAATCCAGCAATCTCATTAACTGCGACTTCTCACTCGCTCCATTGCTCAGTTTCAAGTGCGCCTGCCACAGTCGAGCATGAACACACGCAGTCATACAGGCCGCCGCCTCTTTCATCTGCCCAACATCCAACGAACCGTTAATTGAATACCCAGTCACATGAACCGTCAGTATGCAACCCCACCCACCTTCGGAATATCCGCATATTTCTTGGCAATTTGGTAGAGCAGATTGTCCACCACGAGATCTCCCAGCCGCACCGCATGCTCCAGTGCACATACAACATATAGCGCCACACACGCCAGATCCATCGCCGCAACCAGATCGTCCAGTTCTGCATCATAAAGAAATAACATCGTCAATACTTCGTTTCCATCAACATAAACATGTGCGTCTATTGACCTTCTTCCTTGGCTACAGCGCCACTGGTGACCGCGTAAACTTTCACAAGGCTCTGTGCCATCTTGGCCGCGAACACAACGTCGGTCTTGCTGCTGCTGCTTACGCGTTGACGTTTGGCATCCCTCTCTTGAGTCAGTGATTGGGTCCAATCTGGCACACGGCGCTCGACCGCCGCTTTCAGCAAGGAGAGAGTCGTTGAAGACGAGTTTGTTGCGCTGACATTGCGTACGAGAGCTGCTGCTTGAGGTGTGAAGAGAGTGAGCGCTCTGTGCGCTGCTCCACGCCGCTGGACGAGCGCAAGAAGTTGGTCACGGGTGGCGCCAACCTTCGCATTCCCTCGCATTTTTTTTTGAATGGGAGTTTTCCAGTTAAGTTCCAGTAAAGTTCGCGTGAAATGCGAACTTAGCGCTGTAGTGCACAACTATTCGCCGACTTGAATGATAGGGATGCGCAATGGGTGGAAGAGCGCGCTGGCCACAGCCTTGTCGATTACAAGACATCAGCGATGCTTGCCTACTGGAGCCACATTGGCGCGCTTCTTGTCCACCGAGGCGGCGGCGCTGGAGACGCCGCAGCTGCAGCGCAAGTGCGTCGCGTATCGTTTGGGCAGCGTCGAATACGAGACCGCATGGGACTGGCAGAAACAACTCATCCAGCAGCGTGTTCTGGCCATTCGCGCCGGCCAATCGGTGGAGAAGGATGTGGTTCTTATTCTGGAACACCCGGATGTATACACACTGGGTCGTGGAGGCACCATGGAGAACGTCAAGTTTGATCCGGAAAAGGAGCATGTCAAGCTGGTTCGCGTAGATCGCGGCGGTGAAGTTACGTACCATGGCCCCGGACAGGTTGTGGTATACCCGATACTGGATCTGACGCAACACAAGAAAGACCTGCATTGGTACCTCCGCCAGGTGGAGGAGGTGGTGATTCGCACACTGGCCAAGTTTGACATTCAGGGTGAGCGCGTGGACGGACTAACGGGTGTGTGGGTGGAGGAGAAGCAGGGATATGAGGATGGAGAGCATCGCAAGGGGAACTACGAGCGTGAAATGCGCAAGATCTGTGCGGTAGGTACGCATGCGAGTCGCTGGGTGACCATGCACGGCTTCGCTCTTAACGTTACGACGGATCTGCGCGGGTTCGATCGTATTATTCCGTGTGGTATTGACGACCGCGCTGTCACGAGTATCGAGCGCATTCGTCCAGATGCGACCATTAAGGATGTACAGGATGCTGCAAGTGAGGCCATCAGCGAGGTCTTCCACCTCGATATGGAAGATGTTGAGGCCAAGACGCCGCTGTAGAGTGCATATACCTGTATTTTGATGCTGTTTCCCTTTTGATCTATTCGACGCGAGATACTTGATGCAGCTGGTCGAGTGTGAAGGCGACGATGCTGTCGACTGTTGCAAGGCCTCCGTTGCCTGTGTGAAGCACATTAAGGTCAGGAGGTTTGCAGTAAATGTGAATAGAGAACCAAGTGAACTTCGTTCGTACCAACAACTCCGCAGGCCAATTTCTTCTCGATTGGAGGAACCATCTTGTACCCAAACTCGTCCAGCACTCGAATCTGTTGTGCAGTGATCGGGTGGTTCCACATGTCCGTGTTCATGGCAGGAGCGTAGATGAAAGGCTTGGTCATGATCCACGCCCGAGCGACGCAGGTCTGTCCATGTAATACCACAAACATCACGTCAAAAATGCACCCAATAACGAGCTCAAGAACGTACGAGGAGGTTGTCAGCCAAGCCATTCGCGAGCTTCGCTAGCGTGTTCGCCGACATTGGTGCCAGTAGCATCACATCTGCCCAGTCCTTCAGCTGCAGCAAAGTTAAACGCGCACACAGAGCGATAGGGGTTCGCGCGTTAGTGTAATTATCACCGCCACTTCGCTCCCGACGCACCTCAATGTGGCGCACGCTGTCCCCTACGACGTTCCATCCCTCCCATTCGTCTTCGTCTCGAACGACAACAATTCTGCCTTTACCACCACCAGACAATTGCGTTGCTGCATGGAACTCCTCCCAGGCCGCTTCGTTGTAGTCCTTGGCACGTTGAAGAAAGAAATCCGCCGACTTGGTGAGCACCACACACACCTGCTCTTAACACAACAACTTCAGCATCGGAGGAGCAACTTTCCACTCTTTAAAGCCACCTCTGCCGTCTCCGATAGCCGCACAGCGATCTCCGGCACCTTGACTGTCGCCACGCTGCCGCTCGCGCACAGCAGCACACAAGGCCGCATATCCTCCGTATCAGAATAAACTTATTATATTACTAAATCGGGGTTGCCTCTTTACTGAGAGTGATGGTCATCTGCCAGCAATACTGGGCTGCTCATTTGGCAATGGAAAAGGTGGTGCACAAGCTGGAGCTGCACGGGCAGCAGCCAACGCCACTTGCGGATCAGGTCACTAGTCAACCGTCTTTGCTGGAGAATGTTACGCTACACGATTATCAACTGATAGGGCTACAGTGGCTGCTGCGCAAGCATGAGCAAGGGCTGAACCCCATTTTGGGGGACGAAATGGGATTGGGAAAGACCCTGCAAGTCATCTCGTTCATCGCGACTCTAGTCACCTCTGACCGGGAGCAAAAGAAAGCCGAAGGAGGTCGGTACTTGGTCGTCGCACCACTAAGCGTGCTGCCCAATTGGATGGAGCAGCTCGAGCAGTTCGCACCCAGCATTTCGACAGTCATGTACATTGGCCCCGCTAAAGATCGGGAGGAGACGCAAAAAGTCATTGAGGCCAGTCCAGTGGATCAACCGCTGGTGGTCGTGACGTCCTATGAGATGTTATTATATGACCATGAGTTCTTCCGCAAGGCACTGTGGGAGGTAGCGATTATGGACGAAGGACACCGACTGAAGAACCCAAAGGGCCAACTCCATGGAGTCGTCTCGACCAAACTGCGGTCAAAGCACATGGTAATACTCACGGGTACTCCCATTCAGAACGGTCTGCAAGAGCTCTTTGCGTTGCTGTCGATTCTGAATCCGAGTGTCTTCAATAACCAGAAGCTGTTCGAAGCCACGTTCAGAGACTATTTTTCAGCCAAGGCACAGCGACTTGATGAGGATCGACAGTCCAAGTCGAAGCGGGTGAGCAAAGCGGAAGAGCTGATGCGTAGACTACTGGCTCCACTACTGCTGCTACGTACGGTGCAGGATGTTCAGGGAGCATTCACGTTACCGCCGCTGTCCGAAATGGTGGTGCATACACCCATGTCGGCGATGCAGCGTGCATACTACAAGGAAGTAATTGCGAGAAATGCTGAGGTCCTGAATAGCGCAGCGAAAGCTGCAAGGAATAGGTAAGCCTTGCACGTTGGATACTTACGGATCTACCGACGCTGACGCTACGTTGTGCTGTAGGATTCCGTTGCTAAATATTTTACCGCAATTGCGAAAAGCGTGCAACCACCCGTACCTATTTCCTGGAGCAGAACCGGAGCCATTTGTGGAAGGAAGTCATTTGTACGAAAACAGTGGCAAGCTCTTTGTCCTGCATCAAATTTTGCCGCGATTGAAACGAAAGGGTCACCGGGTGCTGTTGTTTAGCCAGTCCCCACCTTTCCTGGATATTATTCAGGATTTTCTCACACTTGAGAGCTTCGCATACGAGCGGATCGACGGGTCTGTACGTGGCAAAGAGCGTTGGCAGTGCATCGAACGCTTCAAGAAGGACCCAGAGACTTTCGTCTTTCTGATCTCCACACGAGCTGGAGGTTTGGGACTGAATTTACAGAGCGCAGACACGGTCATTTTTGCAGACTCGGATTACAACCCGCAAACGGATCTCCAGGCGATAGCGCGTGCGTATCGACTCGGTCAAACCAAACCTATCCATGTGATCAAATTTTTGTGCGCAAACACAGTCGAAGAGAGCATATACCGGCGCACTCTGAAGAAAATGCGCATGGCCGATCGCATTCGTAACCTTGCGCGCCGAAGTGAAGACGAGGACGACGAAACTGATGACGATAGTAACAAGAGTTTGTTGGATATGATCCAGTTTGGATTACACCGCCTGATGCAAGAGGCTGCCGGGGAGGATGAAGACTCACTGATGAAGCCTCTGGAGGAGGAATACATTGAACATATTCTTACCCGGAAATCACTCCATCCAATTGAAAAGATTATTGGGGGGTCCGACGATAAGACAGGATCAACTTTGATGAGCGACAAACTGCTAGAGTCAGGCGGAGATTTTCAAGAGGAAAACATGTACTACTTTGAAGGAGAAGACTACAAAAAGACCGTGAATAACAAGGCACAAGATGCAGAGTTGCTCGAGAAATTATGCAAAGAAGCCGCAACAAGTACAAAGCGGCAGACAAAGACAGCACGTAAGCGATATGAACAAGAAGACGAAGAGGAAGACGAGGAAGATGAGGAGAGGGCAATTGAGAATGAAGCGGAGCAAGCTCGAAAACGAGAGGAACGGCGTCAAAAAGCGCTGGAAAGGAAACTTGCTCAGTGGAAAGCTAACAAGTACACATCGGCAGCTATCGATCCAGCAGACGGCTGTGTGCCATCATCACCGCGTAGTTCTGACGGCTACGACTCCTCCAGAAGCCCGGGGCGGCTGTACTACCAGTCCGGCGATGCCAGCCATCCTCCTCTTACGAGTTTACGTTCAAGCCCCTACATTGTTGTTCATTGCGTTGACAACAGCGGTGTTTGGTGTTCGCGTGGATTCTTTCGCAGCCTGTCGGCGCTCTCATCTGCTATCCAAAAGCAGTATGAAGCGGCTGGACGCAACAGTGACCTCAAGCTTGGCAGCGCCCATTTGATTCGACTACCAGAGACTGACAACAACGCGCCAAACGACGGATATGTGTGCTTACTCGTTGTACAGGGATTCGTTGGGAAGAAGAAGCAGCGCGTGGGAAACGGACCCGGCGTGATACAAGTTATTCGCCAGGGCAAGTCGTCGACCTTTCGGCTCAATGCACTGGAGACTGCGCTGCAGGCTTTAGCGTATCGTGCACTCGAGTTGGGGGCCACAGTTCATCTACCCCGTATTGGCTATGGAACTCCGAATTTCAATTGGTATGCTGTTGAGCGTTTGCTGGCACGCAATCTTCGGGACGTGGGTGTTGAAGCAACCATTTACTATTATTCACGAAAAAGTTAGTTTGTCAAATCTCAGCAAGAACATACAACTTAACCAACGGAACAAGCTTAACACTGCGCTCATGATCACATGTAGTGCGTCTCGAAGTCGGGGAAGCCATCAGCTATATCGTTCTGAGGTTCTATCCCGATTGCACTGAGGATAGCCGTAAGTAACCCTCTTTTATTCTTCAGTGTCTCGATCTTGTCCTTAATATCATCAATGTCGCGTTCTAGTTGTCCGATGTCATCGTTCAGCACCGTTAATTGGTCGAGCGTATAGTGCTCCTTTGATCTGTTAGTCGTGGTTGCGGCCAAGTCCGGGCTCTTCTCTTCCCATTGCGACTTCAGTAGCTGCAGTTCTACATCCAGGTTTGCAGATTTGTTCATAGTCTCGCGAAGTTGGATTCGAGTCTTAAATTCACACAGTGGGTTCGTGCATAGTTCCCTGTGCGCTTGTGTGTTATGCCAATTACGACAAAGGTGATCACGGCAAGGAATCCCTTCACTACATTTTCGCGAAATATTTTTCTCGCAATTCCTGACGCAGCGTTTACCGGGAGGTGGCTTGCAGTGGAATGAATCCACCAGTTGAATTGACATTCGTAAGCACGATTTGTAGTGCTTAACCTGCAGTGGAGTCCGCATTCCTGCGTCGCAAAGGCCTGGAACTGGTTGCTCAACGTCTTCTACTGAAGAAGCGTCTTTCTCCTGATCAGATGCAGCGGCGGTGTCTAAAGGCGTATCCGTCACCACACCTTGGTGAAATTCTGTCAGCGCGTCACTTTTACCATCGGTGTTGCATCTCGCGTCTTCACCGTGCACAGCTACAGTGTTTTGCGTCGTTGATACTTCTGCACTTGTGAGCTCAGGTTTGTTGTTCTCAGCACTGTCGATATTCCTCAATTCACCACTTACTTGTGCCC